TTTAAAGTTCGTAACGCTTGCTAAACGCCGACTTACCGACGCCTAGCCCTGCTCTAATTAGTTTAAAGTCGGGCCGAAATCCGCGGGTTTATCTCACCGGAGCGTGGGATAGATATTTAAAGTATTATAATAGTATTAGGGAGTATATATAGTAATTTATACTTTATTAGAGTACTATAGAATATAGTACTTAAATATTTAGACTTAAGTAATAGTATTATACTATAAGTATATAATCTTAGATATAGTAAAATAAGATTAAAGATAGAATAAAAGATAAGTTAAAAGGCTTTAAGGTATAAAGAATCTTTATATATTAGCTTACCTATATAAACTATTATTACTTAAACCTCTTCTAAAGCTGCCTATAATATATTTAAATTACTAGTTTATTAAAAAGATTTTCTAGCTTAGCTATAGTTTATAATATAAACTAAGGTTTATAACTAAACTAAACTTTAACTAATAGCTGCCTAGGCTCTTAAATATATATCTATACTAGTATATTAAGCAAAATATTACTAAGAAATAGTTACTTTACTTTATAATACTATTATTATATACTTTTACTAATATCTACTATATATAAAAGGGCTAGGTATTAGCTTCTATACTAAATTACTATACTGTAATTTTACTGTATTGCATCTATCTGCTTATATAACACGCATAAATACGCTAAAACCCTAAAATAATAAACTATTATTACTTATACCCTATTTAAAGCTATATAAGTTATATATTTAGAAATACTAGTTAATTAAAGAGTTATTATAGCTTAGCTATAGTTTATTATATAATTTAGGGTTTATAACTAGACTAAACCTTAACTAACAGCTACTTAGGCTTAAATATATATATCTATACTAGTATATTAAGTAGCAAGTTATTTAGAAATAGTATACTAGTAAGCTTTTTATTACTATTACTATATACTCTTACTAATTCTTACTATATAAAAGGGGCTAGGTATTAGCTTCTATACTAAGTTACTATATTAGATTCTTACTATATTTTATTTATCTACTTATACTTTTAGCATAAATACACTATAAACCTAAAATAATACTTATTTAAACTATTCTTAGCTAAATTATAAGAACATTAATTTATTATCTAAATCTGTAGATATACTTTAAATTTAGGTAGATAAGATACAAATTCTAGATCTAGATACGCTTATAACTCTAGCTTACTATTTATAAAAGCCTAGACTACTAATTATAGACCTTAATAATTTCTAGAGTTATATTAAAACCTTTTTATACTTTACTTCTTAAGTTAAAGCTATTTTATAACTTTATATTACTTAAAATTTTTCGAATTAAGTTTAATAGTGTAAGAACCTTAACTTAGCTTATTTTGTTTTCTTAAAACCTATTTAACGTTTAAATTTTAGATATAGAAACTTAAACAGAAACGTCTTTTAGTAGTAATTTAAATATTATTGCCCTTTAATAATAGAATACAGTGTAAATATTGTACTTTACTTCCTATTCTTTTCTTATATTAATATAGTATATATTTTAAACATAGTCTATATAAAATCTTGTAATATTAATATTTTCTTAAAGAAAGTCAAGAAGTAAGCTCTATCTAAAATTAAAATATAGTAATAATATTTAACTAAGAGAAAAGTAGTGTTTATACTACGATTTTATTCTAATAATTAAACTAACGTAACTTTAAACTTTAAAACACTTACAAGAGTTTCCTAATGTAAAAGATATAATATATAGCTTAACTTCTATAATTATATAGTTCTTTTATTATTTTGTAGTTACTATTAGCTAGCTTTTTTCTAATAAAGCCTAAGTAAGGTTAATTTCTATCTTTATGTTTACACTTTTATATAATTTAAAGTCCTTCTTTAAAATAATTTTTAAAATTAAGATTAAGATTACTTTTATATAATAAATTTTAAAAGTTTATTTACTAGATATAAAATATTTATAGTAGTTATTATTTAGGATATTATAACTTCGATTTTAATACAGCTACTATTCTCTACAACCTATACTAATATACAAATAAAAGGTTTAATTTCTGTTACTTAGTCTATAGTTATAATTGTTATAATACTTATTTAAAAGAGACCTATTCTCTACCTATCTAGAATTATATATATTAACTTAATACAGGTTTCCTAACTTAGTTAATTATAGAAGTTAAGTATTTAACAAAATATATAGTAATTATTATCAAAAGCTTATAAGCTTAGACTTAAAATTTATCTAACGCTATATAAATAACTAACTACAAGACTATTATAAAGCAGAAGTGTAGTTTAAGGGCAAATTAGTTAACAATTTATACTAAATTAAAGTTATAAATTATAGCTATTCTTGTTAGAAATAGAGAGTTACTAGTAAGTTTAGCAGTTATTTAAAGTAGCTATAGGCTATAAGCTATTTTCTTTAGCTAATTATAGTTATCCTGACTACTAAGTCTCTTAGATAAGCTTCTGTATAAGTATATTAGGTAGCTATCTATAAATAGATAGCTGATAATTATCTATTACTACTACTATGAATCTTAACTTATCTTTATTTTCTTAAGATAATATAGGTAACGTGTTCTAGACTAGGTAATTATTCAAGAAACTATCTCTATCTTAGCTATATACAAAAACTTAGAGTATAAAGATAGTAAAAACTTAAAAAATCTAGTCTATAGCAACCTTATAGTTACTACTTAAACTATAACCTATTTAGATATTATAACTAGAGTAGCTAGGGAAATAAGATATATTATAATAGAAAGTTTATATAAGTAATAATAATAGCACTATTATTATCTTTATTACTTAGTCCTTGTTATAATATCTTTAATCTTATTAATTAATAGACCTGATTTTAACTAAGACAATAAAATTTTTATATACTATAAATACTAGGTTGAAGATATAAAAGTATTATTTCTTTATTAAGTTAAAGATATATATTACTATCCTATATACCTAAAACTGTAATAATAAGCTTTATTTTAGTACAAGAGACTTTATAGTATAATTGAATTACAAGTAGTTATTAAAAACATAACCTATTATTATAATTATCTATTCTAGCTTTTAGAAATAAATAGTAAGAAGTAGCTAAGACTTAAAGAGAAGCTTCTTATAAACTACTTAATAAATACTTATTTTATTTTCTTTATAGGTTATACTTAAATACTATTAAATGAAGCTTTAATCCTTAAAGTATAAATAGATACTTCTTAAATAGATTTTTAGTAGCCTTAGCTTTAAGATTAAACCTTAGATTAGTTATCCTTAGTATATAAATATAAAAGTAAAGTTTCCTAGTACTCTCTAGTTTTTATAGTATACTTTTTAACTAACTTTATATATAAACAGCTAAGAAACGGATTTATATTAAGAATTTAAACTTATTAACAAGTTTATTACGTATAACTTTCTATATATTAAGCCTTTCTATATTTTAACTTTAGGAGTATATAGTTAAGCTCTTTGTCTTATAATTTAATAATACTAATAGACCTTAATCTATTACCTAGCTCTTTATATAAAACTTAACTAGTTTTATTATAAAATCTTGGATCTATATTAATAATAAAATAAAAGTTACTTTTAATAAGCTTCTAAAACTATTTTAGTATTTTATTTAGAAGTTATTAGTAATCTAGGTAGTTAAGAAAGTATAAGATAAAATAGTAATATAAATAGTTATAGAAAGTAGTTTATAGAAAATGTTTTTAGAGGTTAACTATATTTATAATAAAAAGACTAGCTTAAAAGAGCTTATAAGTAATAAAATTATATCTATAATTATATAATTAAAATTAACCCTAATTTTTACTACTCTCTAGAGTAAAGCAAGATTTTAGAAAATTATCTTTAAATTTTTTAATACTTGATAAACTCCTTAAGGAATTTAACTCTAAGTAATATTATAATTTTTTCCTAATTTATACCTACTTTTATAGTTATCTTTTATTCTTATATATTAACCTAGCTTTCTTGATATTTTAACCTTTAAAATTTCCTTTATTTAAAGGCAATCTATATTAGTATAAAGTATTAAAAGTATTCTTATTAAATATTCTTCTATATATAGTATCTACTTCTTTTTTATATTTATCTAGAGTATATCTCTTCTTTAGAACTGCTAGAGTAGTTTTTCTTGTAGTATCTTAAGATACTAGGACTTCCTGTTACCCTAAGCCTAAAGTCGCGCGTGCGACATGTCACTTTCACCAGGTTTGTCACTGTAGTGAAAGCGAAAAACATGGAAATCACGCGCCTTGAACAGGGCAAACTCTTTCACTACATACCTACCTTTACGCAATGTCGACTTCGCCTGCTACTACTTTGATTGCAGCATCTAATCGTGGGACCTTACGTCAACAACTACCTTGCAACTCAACCGCCTTGTACACCAACCTCTTAGTATTCACTGTCGTTGCGTTCCACTTCTGGTCCCTTGCACGCTGCCCTACCGCGTCAGCAGCCCGCGACAACGAAGCTCGAGGCAGCATCGTACCCCAGCTACTTTTCCACAACTACCTTCTTTAACACCTCACATGGCGTAGCCTACAACCAGACTTGTACAGGTCTCTGAGTCCCGTTGCATGTGTCCAGAATGATCGCTTATCTCAAACAGATCGTGCAAACACAACGCTGCAGCAACACGACATTGCTGTTCTCGTCCGCTTTCGTCAAGTCGAATTTCCACCTCACTAATTGAATCCAAAGCCACGTCCGCCTTTCGCCAAACCGACAAAGTAAATCCTTTACTATAAAATCGTCAAGCAACATCTCGACAATGTCTACTATCCCAGCAAAGCTCACGAGCACTCCTACATCCCCCAAGACCCGCTCTGGTCGTAAGAAGGCGAAGTCGTTGTGGTATAAGACTATGAGACAAAGTGGGTTTCGAAATGCTATTCTCAACGCTCACAAGTATGTTTAGTTAGCCATTAGACTGTACTGACTCAGTTCTTCAGAGTCAGGATACGCGACCCTTCTCGCCAGTGTGTTCGGCCGGGTGACAATTCGACGCTTTGGGCCTTTGGAAGACCGTGGTGATGACTGGAATGACCACGACGACAGTGTTGGTGTATACGGCAGTGGTGGCGCGGAGACCGAGAACGAAGACGCTGATAACTTCGATGAGGGTGAGGCGCTTATCCGTAAGGTTGTTGTCAACGTTCAATCCACTAACCGTGCACCAGATTGCGATCGTGCACGTGAATATGAGGAAGAATTAGCTAGCGAACTTGCCTCTGCGGGTAGCTTGACACCTATCAATCAGGCATTCCTCAGCAACTATCTTCGTGAGTTGATCCAGGTGTTGACTTAGCTTATCTGAGATTTCGACAGGTCGCAACTTTCACGTCACATCCGCTTTCTACGAGGTAGCTCATCCAAACACTCCCGAAGAGACTCGTCCAACTACGCCCGTGCATATCGCAGCGCAAGCCCTGCCTTGTCAACAGGATATCGCTGAAGCTTCGCAGCGTAGGTTGTGCCACCCACATTCTACAAATAAAATCTAACCGCAATGTAGACATCAGTTAGGACTGTGTCGTTTGTGCTCCACAGCCCGCTTCGCCTTGCTCAAACGCCGAACCGCAACGCATGTGTTGAAGTACATGCTCATCTTGCAGTGGCAAGAACGAGGACTTGGCATGGGGAGGATGAACGTGGGTACCATGCGAAGAGGTTTCACGTTGGGCTTGGGTGTGCTTTGCCGCTGAACTCAGGTATGTTCAGTAGTTGGAACTTTTGACTATTACCGTTTTCGACGACATGGCTTGGACATGGTAGCACTTTGGATGAAGAAATCATGTGACAATTGCGGCCAAGCAGTCTAGCCAATCTCAGATGTGTATTTCATTACATTATAGATGATACAAGTTTCCTTGCACGACTGAGCATTAATGCTTGATTATCAAGTCCATGAGAATCTTAACTCCTTCTCCGCTAATCGCAAGTACCACATGATCCACACTGATCTTTTCACCCTCGCCGATCTACCTCTCACACGACTATTTGACGTCACGTTCCGTATCCAACAGAGCTCTTCCCATCCCCGTTTCTCAATCTGTTGTTGCATCTGTGACATCTTCCATTCATGAAACTGGGCCAAGAGTACAGCTAAGAACAACATGAGTATTTCAATTGAAACTGCTTCAACATGAATTTCATGATGGGGTGTATTATTGAAACCGTAGTTTCGCGTCACACTCTCCCTTGCGGCCGCACATCTCTATCCTGAACTAAGTACATCTACTACGCACTTGTTTCTCCTTTCACATACAATGTCTTGTATCAAGAGTTTATATAATTTGGACTATGCCTCTCAAACATCAACCGTCCAATGCTAATCCATACATTACAGAAGGTCTTCCGGCACACATACAGAGATTATCCAATCACGATATCATCAATACATGGTAGTAGCCCATATTTAGTTCCTAGTAAATCGTTCAAGAGTCAATCTCAGCAGCTAGTTAGCTTTGCGTAGGTTTAACTCAGATTGCTAGACAAGGTTATAGCTTTCCAACTCCTTCCTCAACCAGCCCTCCATTGCGACATAGCAGCAGGAATGAAATCATATACAGGATAACACAGATGTTAGAACATAGCAGAAAGCTTACTGCCGTAACTGCCAGTCACAGGAAACCACCCGGTTGCCGTTTTGATTTGTAAACTGTGTGTACATGTTTGCATACAATATAGTTGGCCAGAGTCTTCTTCCCAGATCCGAAAAGCCATGTAGTTATAACATGATAAATCTCTAGTTTACTGGCCTCTTAAACTCACGCGCTTTACGCCAGCATCATGTCTTAGTTTGATGAATGCATTCCAGAAAGCGGGAGGGTGCGGCGGGTCACTAGACAACCCAACTGGGCCAGCGGGGGAGTTCTCACTGTAGACCTCAGTTTTACGAGCGCAGCGGAAGATCTTCAGGCGCGGATTAATGGCGTGGTGAGGATGGCCAAGACGACTATAATTCAATATATGCGCTGCGAGAGTGATTTAATGGTTGTTTTTATTCAAGGGTATGAATATTAATCGAAAGCATCTCCGCCTCGCAAGTTTTTGTTAAAAGACATCTGTCTCTACCGCATTGCGGTCTCCAATAGACTTGTTGACCCAAGACTCTACGCTCTTGCACATTTTGGGCTTTGAAAGATCGGCCATTGCCTCAAAATATGCAAGGATGTTTTTAGTGAAGGGAGATATGACATAGGTAGGCCGACACGTTGTTTGTCCCTGAGCAGCCCTATCCCTATGTTTTGCCTCTGCTAATTATCTTAGGCTCCATAGATGCAATGGACAACGGCCTGAGAGCATGGTCTTCGTGAGACGAACGGGAACCGACGTTCTTCTCACACCTCAATGCAAGGAGTATTGGGGGGGGGAAGGGGTGATTGACGGCTGTGAGACGTATGCTATACACAGGACCGACTTCGCGGCTCAGCCGACAACCCAGACGTGATATCCTATCCTCCATACATAACGCCAACTTCTGCACCGAAGCTCAATAGGCAATGTCGCCCCGATCGCGAAATGCTGTGGCCACACCTACTGGCTCAACATTTGCGATGAAGCGGCAGAATCGCTCTGCTGCGGTTTGACAAGTCCTAGGTCCGGATCAGCAATTACTTTCATTCAACAGTGCAGAACCTAAGTCTCCTAGTGTGAATCAGTGACGTGAAAACGTACAGCGTGATGCAAACATGATTTAGGCTAGGGAATGTTTACATGTCTACAATTGAGCAGATATCCACCACCTTTGTTAGTCGACTTGTAGTGCCCGCAAACTGCGACTCGCATCCACGCTGTTGTGATAATTGTAATGCAAGAAGTAACGAAGCGGCACGACATCCTCTTCGCTAACCACGCGCCGTGGAGAGACCCGCAGACGATGCCTGTTCCCATCTGCACCGCCCTTTTGCTGACGCTTACTACTTCTCCTCCACCAGTCTCAGTGGGTTTCGGCAGATCGCACGGCACTTGGTTGCATGGCTGGGGAAAAGCCATATTTCAACTCTCCCGAGCATCATGATACCAATCATAGTCATCGTGGCCAGCGGAATACCCGCTGGAACAGAAGCCAAAGAGAAAACCAAGAAAGCTTATCTACGGATATCGACAAAGGAGAGGGCGAAAGACCTGTATCAACGGGTCTCCGCGGTTGACATCATGCCACTCTGCCTGAGCGGCACGACGTCTGCTAATGCCTGCTACCAACGTGAACAGAAGCGCCTCATGGAGAGATTCGACCAGATACAAAGGAACGGAGCAGACAGTCTGACGCTGTCCTCCGCAACTCTCTGGCCGCCTTTATGGACTCTGCGATTGCGGCTCTTGCAGAGTCCCCTGACATTGCTTACATCTTCGTGAGGGCGTCTAGGGTCCGAAATCCTGTTGCGTCTAACTTGAAGGCACACCTTTTGCACTCCCGCAAGCACATGAACTTATCGAAATAGTAAGTGATGTTCCAAGGTTTCACGATCGCCTACAGTCTGTTGTTGGAGTATGATCTTCTCAATGCGCATAGTGCGTAAAATATCGCTTGGGAAAGCCGGCATACTAGCTCAGCACATGTCTTTGATTACAAGGGTTGTTCTTGATACGCTGTACAAGACCGTGTTCCACAAGGTAAGTCTAACACAGGCGCTGGCCCTGGAACAGAGCAACGACGTTGTCCAGTGGAGTAGTCTCATCAAGATAGTCGAAACATGCTTCCTTCGCTACATGGAACAACTCAACAACGGAGAGGATGCCGCAGACACCCACAAAAACAATCTCACACGCTTCCGGAGCCGGTCCGGTTTCCGCCGTGATGGCAATGCCAAGGGTGATATTTTCGATGTGTGTTCCAAGGTTGTTAAGTTCTCCGGCATCTGTCAGTCAGCTCTGTAGAAGGAGGAGAAGGAGCAGCTCAGGCCATAGACAAGTCAATGAACCGGGTTGGATGGTGAGAAAACCCCGCCATAAACGAGTAATGAAACCCTCGGATACTTGTGGGAGGTTATCGGAGTTATACGTTGGGGATGTTCCTGTGCTTCTACTCGGCACTCAAAGTACAGCCTGCTTTACGGGCAGTATATCTGCGAAAACTAAGTCACATTGCTTAGACAGCGCAGCGAAGGTGGCTCTTAGGTCTTCAACATGCTCGCTGCTCTTTCTGTCAACAGGATATGCCAAATGTCATAGTCGTCAAGGTAGACTTTTCAACCCTGGGGTAGGCATTTTATGCATCGACGAGGAGGCATGCGCGTTGTAATGCCACCGGTATTGATGGAACGGACACAAGATCACATTGATCTGCCTATTTTCTTTAAGCAGTTCATCAAAGTAGCTTTTACTATCAGCATACGTGAGTCACTCAGTTTAGTCGAACAGAAGGATGAACACTAATTGACGTACCAAGGAGCGGTGATGGCCATGGATTATTGCATGAGAGGCTGGCCCCAGAGTGGGTTTATAAGAGAGTCTCCAGAAATCATGAAGCCAGCGTCTATTCTTTGTCGGCGATCACATCCTGAAACACTCGCAGGCAACAGGCACAGGCACAGAGGTTGCATTATCTGTCCTTGCGATTTCTCTGGGCACCGGCGAACCAGGCCTGAGCGACTGCGACGACAGCTGCCGGACCCTCTAGAAGATCCGAATATATCTCAAGTGTGAAGGGGCCCACACGAGCCACACAAATGTTCCTGGCTGACTCAGCGTCAACGGTCTGTGCCGTGCTTCCGGGCGGGGTCGTGTTGTCGCCTCGCCGCGACCCATCACGCTAAGATGCGCGATCTCAGACGCGCGACAACACAGTCAGGCAAGCCTGGAAGTCTCCAAGACTAACGGGAGAGGTTCTCTATCAAAACCATCAGCTCAGTGCATTCTTTGACGCCGTCGAATCAAGATTTGAGAATACGAGCAGCAAATCCGAACTTATATCAAAAGCGCAGGCGAATTCCTCCCTATCTCCAAAGATCGACACCGTGGCGCGCTGTGTAGTCGCATCACTCTTCTATTCTGAGTTGGAAACGCTCCCTAGAAATGCGATGGCAAAGACGTGATTGAAGCTTCCTATCTCAGGAAGAACGGCAACTTTCGAATGCGGATCAACGCAGAGACCGTCGACAGGCTCACGATCTCTCTGGAGCTGAATGGCGCCAAAGCCTGCAACATCAGCGGCGCACGATTATTTGCACGGAGATTGGCCACCGCGCTGGGGTTGGATGCACCTCTTGGTTGGCTGAATCATGGCAAGCGTACGGGGCCAGAAGACTTTTGGAGGAATAACAACGGAAAGAAGACAAGTCTTAGCATTACAGGACCACTTGTCCACGATTTACGGAAGAGACGTTGTCATGGAAGACGTCATATGCCCTACAACTCGAGCAGAACTGTGACGTATGCTCGAATGTTTCCCATGTCTTTGCGTTACACTCCCTCATCATCATGGTCTTCTCACCGGCATCCCATTCTAGAGTTGATATGGTTGTTGCAGAGTATCAAGGATCTGCTTGACGAGAGAACACCCTGTCAGTACGTGTCAAAGACGGCAACAGCAAGTCTGCCTGCTCATGCTTGGTGCATCCCTCAGCGCAACTTATGCACACAGGTAGGTGTCATGAAGTGCTCTATCATCCTTGTTATGTCATCAGTTGCCATGTCATGTCCCTCTGCGCAGTTGACCTAGACGCTCGATCCGCGGCAGCGGCGTCGGTCGCGTAGCAGCCTGAGATGGGGATTTCACCTGATTGTCCGAGTCATCCGAATTGCTCGGACACTGGTTTTGAGTTTCAGGGCGCCGGCATCGTGGCATAGCCTTCTTGGAACGGAGTAATGTATCTGTGTTATGCTCTGAAATTTCCTCAAGTACTGTCGGCGCCGTTGAGTCACGAACCGTCAGATGAGATACCTGTTTCACAGTGCCAGAAGCTGGATCGGTTGGCATCGGCTGCGAAAAGAGACAGAGTGGCTGGCGGAAGGAGCGTTGACGCACGTGCCGGTACAGCTGTCTATCCCGATCCTCCCACACAGTGACGTGTTGGTACTGGTACGGGCATGGAGAAGGCTGCTCCTGAGAAGACCATCCAGGCAGAGAGCACGGCTCCGCAGGATGCGGGGATCTTCTTGGAGTATAGCCAGATATAGCCTTGTCTTCGGGTTTTCTGATTATCCCTACCTTCTTTATGCACCCCTTGGGCCTTCGGTTTGCATCAAATTCAGCACGTCAACGCTCGAGATGCTAATCCTGCTCACGGTATCCGCGCTGGAAAACGCGGTTTTGAATCTTGCAACGCATAGCGCGATCTTTGAGCTTGGACTAGTGGTTTTCCATTCGGAAGAGTTGCTTGCAGGTGACCCATCACGATGACCGATTGGGTAGTGGGATATCCGAAAGCTGAGTGCAGCATTTTGTGACGACTTTTCACAGGTTGGGAGATCAAGGCCACATCTTCTCTCACGGCCACTCATGCGCTACGAATGAACTGCTATGCCCTGATACTCTTCGATACTGTTCTGGCGTATAGCCGTGAATACTGCGGTTGTCAGCATCCTTGTCGCTATGTAGCGATGCCCTGCAAGACACACATTCCTCGCTGTCTTTCACACTCGCGGATCCATTCGAGCGTAGCATTACGCCATTCTGCCATTCGTCAATGACTTTCGCAGGTGGAAGACTGATCCAAAGCCGGCGTGGATGGGCTGTACTGCCAACTCTGGGACCGTGCATGCGCAGGCTGACTGGCATTTGGACTTCACTCAGCTGCCCAATCGTGTCCGTACTGCTCCTCAAAACGTTCCATTCACGGCGACTGGAACCTTTTCGCAATGATTTCACAGTGTGAACTCACCAGCCACGATGTGTCCCAAGTAAATCAATCTACTTTCCAGGCATACTGTTAGTATTAATTCTTTTGTATAGATCGACAATCGTCAGCTGGCTGGAGAGTTAATAATGCGGGGATCTGTATGAACAATACTCCAGTGTTGCTATACGAGTACAGTATTACCAGTAGTGACCTCGTGGCAGAATTGGATACAACGGTACATCAGATCCTGGCCCTCAAACTGGAGCTCAAACCGAGAGGCGAAAGTACAGGGACCCATGCAAGCTACCGGAAGGATGTGTCGATTGAGTCTGTGAACCCGAGGAAGACCTGGGTCAAACGCAGGAGGGTATGCGAGAGCAGCCCAGAGCAGGATGCTTCATATAGCTCTATCGAAATTCCGAGACTAACCCACACTTCTCCCGAAAAGTGAGTGCGGAGCCAAAGAATCGCAGGCCGACAAACTCGCTCATGATTGTCACCCAGCGCTGCAAAACCGCTAAAATCGGGCAACAGAATGAGGAGTGTAACATGAGGTTATAGGAATCCAAGAGAATGAAGTAAAAAAGGTAGAACAACAATCAACAGGAGCAACTACTGTGGCAGTGCAGATGTCCACATGTGATGAACGCCCACAACCCAAAACTCTCGGTCTCACCAGTTTTGCTGGCAACTTCACTGATCTCAATATTCGGCATCTCGCCGCGTAATCAAGCACTGTGCTGCAGCCGCATCCACCACTCAAGTGTTCATCTCAGATCGACGATACCACTTAGGAAGGCAAGACCGCTTGTTGGCAGACGGGACGACAGGGGACGACAAGGCCGTTTAGGACATCGAACTCCACCTAAGACGACAGGACATGTTGGGGGGACAAGACTATTCCGACTGAAGGAGAACGACTGATGACAACAAGACTAATTACTTGGGATGATTGGGTCTATTCGAGGTGACCCAGAATACCGGTGACGTTGAAGGGGTATAGCTCGGGCAACTCGGGCATTGACCATCGAAGATCTTCTGTGTTTCAATGAATACCTGAGAAGCGTCAATGATATCGGATACATACAGCGTGAACGACGACTAACTAGTATGTCATCCCTGAACGGTGGGTACCTACGTAGCGTGGATTAAGTGCGCAACCGATATTTTCTGGTCAATCAGTACTATGTTCTTGATCATTGTGTCATTGAACATTAACCGATAGACAATCAAATATTCCCCTAGCACTTGGGTACTACCAGGGTTATTTGTTAGCCGATCGCTCCTTTTCAAGAGAGTTGTTCCTTGTGAAGCGGTTGCAAGTGAGCACGTAGTAACGGCCACGTTGAGGGCTCAAAGGAAAAAAGAAGAATGATAGCATGTGGATAACGACTCAGACCGGCGGTTGACGTCCTTCTTGCACTCGACGGTACTGCCAAGTCCCTACATACGAAGCCGGCCCAGCGAAGGATCCCAATCATGTGCGTCTCCACGAAGCAAAACCGCCAGCCAGGACAGCATACGCCCCTGACTGACGTACAGGAGGATTTGGTATGTGTCAACAATAGCTCTTATTTCTTCGGACTACATCGCTGGGAGACCCGGCGTGTGACTTGACGACTGACTTCTTCGGCAGATTGTGAATGTCCCGGAAGCAGATAGAAGTAGGGACGGCAAGATTATCAATTCCAAGACTACGGCTGGCTTCATGCACCTCTGATCGGCGGGTTTACGGACTCATGGAGCCCTATTGCTTTGGCTCGTGTTGGGTTACTTCGCTGTGCCGCATTGGCAACAAACAGAAAACGCCTTACAGTCTGGGTGCACTCCACAGTACTATTCAAATTGGCCGCCCTCGGCACAGCGCGAACTCTGAGATCTGTCTGCAGCAAAGTGGCCTAGCTAAGGATGAACGGAACTTCCTGCGATCGCGGGAGAGGGTCATTGATCACAGCAGGAACAAGATGCCAAATTCGAAAGCCAGAAGAGGAAAATGTGTTTTGCTTCGAGGGTACGCCTCAGTATGACGTGCATTGGCGACTCGACTAAGTATGCTAGATGAGCTCGGATAAATCGCCTCTCAACCATCGCTGAGACGCCCATCAAGGCTGATGGACTAAATAGTGACCTTGCTCTCCCTAAGACGAGATCGCTGCTCACTGAGACAAACACATATCTTAGCATGCTTCTACGCGAGTGTGTGTAGCGTAACCACCAATTGAGCGTTGAAGTCCTTGATCGTCATTAAAGTCTACTTGAGAGAATGTTGAATGCTATTAAGGCGGACAAACGGATGACTTAGAGTCTTTGTGAAAGTTCTTGTTATGACATTGATAAACGGTCAAGCTTCTGTGTAGTCAAGCTCATGCATGGCTATGTAGTCGAATCCATTCAGGGTTGTCATTCATGATTGGGTAGAGGGATCCGTTTATGGTTGTGTCGCTTAATTATGCCATGTCTGTGTTGTAATTTCTGCTTGTAGCTGTGCTGTCGAACGTGTTGATGGAACTACTGACGAAATAACCCGTCGAATGTACGTCGATAAGGATGATGCACTGTACCCAAACAGGTCTAATGCATCGAGAGAGTCACCTTCGAGGCAGCACTCTTCCGGTCTGGATGAGAGGGCTGTACAGACCGCCGGAATGGTGTATGTGACCGGCTCCCATCTAGTCAGCGGGAGCGAACGTGTACGTACAGGAGCGGGACTTGAGATCTCTGCATGGAGACGATACGGGATTGGACTGACTGGCAGAGGAGTATGCTCGTGCTCTGCTAGTCAGTGGCGCCCTCCAGAAAGAAGCATCCAACTTGCACCGTTCGTTCCCCCGAGCAGCTATCTCTTCACCTGTACTTCACTGAGCTATGGTCAACGTTCCTGGTCCGTTCCGCCATCTTGACCTCATTCATAGTCCGAGCTTTGATTTTAAGCGGTTGAGCGTCTTCAAATGCTGGGCAGGAAGATTGTGAACTACTCTGGAACTCGTTCACATACACCTGCTCAAGGTCTCAGATTTACTTCTGAAGATGTAGAATAGATCCTCGTCTTTGAAGGTGAACTGTTGCATAGCTGGACGTATGATTTTGCAGGGATTGCGGTGTCATGTTATAAGCTGCCTCCGAGGCACCGAAGGTGGCCATTCCCTAGAGACCTTCATGGAGACATTCTGTGCTTAATCGAGACAGGCGTTGGCGGGTTGGTCTGCACTGATTACCTCTCCGCGCGCTTGCTAGCCGAATCGCGGTTAGAGTTTGTTGCCTGGTCCCTGCTACACTGGCGGTCATTGATATGCCGAAGCTAGAGCCGCCTCTTCACGGGACTTTATGTGAATCAGCTTCTTGGCCTTGAGGACTGTTGGTGCTGAAACCACAGACAGCCGCCGAGACGAACCATTCGCCTCAAGATACCACGGTTTCTTACTGTATCGTTACGAGATACTCTGGGAACCGAGCGGAGCATAGGACGGCTGAATCAGGAGAACACGCGACATCGCGCCGGCGCCTGACTTAATCAGAGCAATTCGACTCGGCAAGAAGTGTAAAGAGGAAGAAGACAAGATTTTTCGTGCGAAATTAGCACCCACTGGCAGGGTGGTATTGACACGACATGAGAGGATCCAGTCCGCCTGATTGGCGAGGCCGTGTGTTGGCCCGTTGACTTACGTGATATGAACGAATTGCGAGGTAGCGAGGCCTGTCGCCTGCAGAATTAATCAACTGCCAACCCAGAAAGATTTACTTCATCTATCAGATATCGACCACTATGCGAGGCGTCGGTGACGGGCGACATGCGAAGTCGTTTCGTCCGGTCTGGTCCAGGCGGAATGTGTTGTGCCAAGTGGGAACGTCAGCGTGACATACGCTTTCACTCTTTTACAACAACGGAACGCTGACCGTTTTCCTGTCCTAATCAACAGAAGAGCCCCTGTCTCCCTCTACGCAGATGTACAAACCCGCACTATTCCTTGCGACTCGAATTAATCTCGACTGGCATGGAGTTGAGGGGGTTGGCGCGGAGCGATTCTTGCACGATGAGTATAGCCAACACTTTCGCAAAGGTAACTAACGTGTCGCGAACATGACATCGATGGCCAGTTCTGTATGCTGAACACGCATCTGTGCAATCTTGTAGAATCGCAACGACGTTGTGTCTTTGCTTATAAACCATTCCATCCCATTTGCTGGCAGTCCAAAAGCAAGTGGATGATTTCGAGGAGCAACACCACAGCGTCCAACTCTGAGAATGCAGACACAAGACATGGGTCGGCGAACGTTTTGTAGAAAAGCCGGTGTACATCGCGAGCAGCTAGAGAGCGAAGTAGACGTGCACGTAACCAACACGAACTCTCTGGTCACACCCTTCACATTCTACTGTCGGCTCCTTGGTGGTTATGGAACGATGTAGGCTTGGCTTGAACCTCGGTTGGACGCGTCTGCTCGTATGCTGTCTATAGGAATTCATTCGGTCTATCCTTGCCGCCCTGCGTGTCTGCACTTTGCAAGCCACGCCTTCAGTCTGGCCACCGAGAGAATAACGCAGGCGCTCTGACGTCTTTCGAAGTCCTTCGAAGATTGACTTCTGATGGTATGAGAAGACGGTGATACACAGGATGGCAATGGCTTTTCAAGGCGATGCGCGACTGGGGTTTGCGTCATGCTTCTATTTGATCTGACTACTTCATCTGTGGGACAGGACCCAGGTACACGAGTGCACAAGAGCGGGAAGGTTGGGTGATCCATTTGTCTCGCCCTTCATATCACAATCTCCTGGACGAAGAATGAATCATCTGAAGATGCGTGGGAGAGCGCATAGCATTGATAGCTACATGTCCGAGATGCATCGTCGAGGCCCGTGATGCGAATGCGCGATGCTAGTGAGCCAAACCACTCGAGCGTAGACACTGGGTGAAGTAATTCCAAGATCTCTGACGGTCTCTTGATCTTGGAGATGTGACGCTCCATGTCTTTTTCCAACTGACCGATGCCGTATTGGAGTGGTAGAGTCATGCTCAGAGGATATCGCATTGAGGCAATTATTGGCTGTAGAAGCTGCTTATACGACATGCTTTGCATGGATAGATGGTGTGTCTCATGGCCACACAGCGCGGGGTCGTAGAATGAGATGGCCGTCCCTTGTGCATTGCTGAATTGAATAGGTCCTGGTACATATAACATCAGGTCAGCTTGGGAGATGTTTCTACGTTGGTGCATCAGGCGTCGTCAGCCAGATATGTGTGCCTGTCACGCTTGGGAAGAGTCATTGGAGGCAACGTCTGTATTCAATTTCCGACAGTACTGTCATCCAGGAGATTACATACAGTCTGGACCTAGTCCCTAGTAGACATGGAACACGGTCGTCGATGACCACATTGTGTGGGGCCTCTGAGCACGAGGACGCGTCAAAACTCTAGCAAAGCCAGGAATGAAGACGGGGTGCAGAAAACATGGCAATAGCAGGCAGGTCACGTCGCAAAGATGGCTCTGATGGCATAGCGGATGGCATAGCGACTGTGCATGCTCGCAGTGATGATGTCGTCCGTGTCGCTGCCTTGGGCTGGCGGAAGAGGCTGGTTGTGGTGGTCAGTGCGCGAACATTGGCGATAATCCATAGCATCGACTGGCTTCAACACGACCATGGCTGGCCACAAGAAGCTTCGTCTATTACGCATCTCGGTCTGCACCTTTGGCCACCTCTAGAACTTGTTCATTTCACCCTCAACATAATGGCCTCAGGCAGAGTCAGCAGGCGGAAGGCGTGTCTGGCGCCAGACGGCAAGACACGCGACATGAACGACGCGGCATGAACGACCAGACGCCCTGAGCCAGTCCAAGGCGTTTTGGATTCAGACGGAGCAGCAGAGCGACACAGGCAGAATGGCAGCTATCTCGGCCCTTCCTCCCAACGATGCCGTCACGCACATGTTGATCGTCATTCACACGCACATAGCCAGCACGACATGTCACGCCACAAGTACTCGACCGTAACGCGCCTTCCTCCATGCCTGGGCACAACCGAGACAGGCAGTCGCCGTCACCTCAAGCGACGATGACATGACGCCATGCCCATGCTACTCGAGTACACCCACGAGCCCCACCGCCGCGCCTCGCACACTTCGTCCATAGTGGCCGCACTCGCCTTCTGCGCTCTCCCCACGCGCGCGCGCCCGCGTCCTCGGCCCACGACTCGTCGACCGCACCGCCGCCACGAAACGCGACATGGCGCAGCTTGCCCAGAACATGTCGACACTGCACGCGCGACGGCCTTTTGTGCCTGTCGACAGGCAGACCCGTGGCTCGCATGAGCCACGCCTTCGAGCTCGCCGTCCTCGCCCACGGTGCCGTGCATGCCGTGTGTGGCGCAGTTGCGGCGGGCGAGGAGCATGCTGGCCGGGTGCTGGCGGGGGTTGTGGCGCGTATGGACGCGTTGGGCAGTGCTGACAAACATGTCCAAGTCGTTGATGAATCGAGGCCGAGTGTCGTGGCAGGGCTGAAGGACACCATTACGGTTGACTTGGGCGACACCATCACCATCGACTTGGGCGACACCATCACCGTTGACTTGGGCGACACCATCACCGTTGACTTGGGCGACACCATCAACGCCAACCTGCGCGACACCATTACCGTCGAGCTCACCGCGTCCATGCAGACCCACCTCAACACCTGGTCCAGCCACTCCAACGCCTCCATCACCGCCTCAATCGACAACCACCTCCTCGACAATGCCCAGTCAACACGCACGCACATCGACGGCCTCCGCGACAGGCTGGACCTCGTCAAAATGGCTGTCGATGGCCTGCACACTCAGGAGGACAACATGGCCGCTGATACTGCCACAGTGGGACAGCGAATGGAGGTGCTGGAGAAGAAGGTAGACAACTTGACGGTCGACATGGGAGGCTTGACCGAAACAATCAAGCAGCAGGAGATGGTACTCGCACGGTCGACCCATACAAGTTTGCTGCCCCCGTCGCCGCCGTCATCTGCATCTCCGTCGTGTGGGCACAGTCATGGAGATGGTTAAACATCGTCCTCATCACTACCACTTCCTTCTCCATAATACACACCCAACACATCCTCCCACTATTTACTGTCCCAGACTGTCGACCGTCAGACGCACACACTCTCGTCTCAGCCCTCGTCCCCCCCATGCTTGGCATCTGCGCCATTCCCAACACCGCCCTCATCCTCACCATCGGTCTCAGCCTCGCCATCTCCATCAAACCCCTCATCGCCGTCATCCTCGTCTCTGATCCCACCACTCTCCCCAGTCCAAGCTTCAACGACCAACCCATGAAATGCCTTCCGTGCACTCCAAGCACAACATCACTTCCAGCATGCATCTTAACACCACTTGCATCACTGGAAGAAAGGGAATTGGAATCATTACATGCATGTCGTAGCCTCAGGGAGGAAAAGAAACGGACATGTACAAGTGCATCCCAATGGCGAGGTACAACCACTTCCATCGGCGTGCCCACAACCAATCTGCCCTCCATCTGCCAAGCAAGCTTACTACCGTAAAAACGGGAATGTCTGTATCGTCGCCGTGAAAGTCCACGTAAGTTGGAGCGAACCAGACACGATGAAGTTGTTTCGGCCGGTTATTGGTAGGCATGGGTGGTGGTAGGTGAGAACGGGAGGATGGTTTCGGTGCAGGACGTAATTAGAGGCTATTTATTAGATGGAAGCTCTTATCGTTCAAATAGAATCGTGATGTCCTGTTTCACGATAAAGACCAACGCTAACTCCATTTTCATTCATTTCTTCTCACATAACCCCATCCGTCCAGTGTGATAGATGTTCCATTCGTTCGTTCTGATTGATGACTTTGACTATCTCATGATAGTTGATCTATTTCGCTGCCACCGGCTCTACGTTCACTTCCGTCCTTCTACAACCCGTGAGGTGGTGTCCTAACCTTTTCCCTGCACTGCTAAAACATGCATATACAAGACACACATGCTATGATATTATGTCAACAGGAATGCTGCTCGCTTGTACATGTAGTCATGCTCCTTGCTTCGCCTTCTAATCCTTATTGATTACTTTGACTACGAATCAAGTGCAATAACTGCGTCATCAAGTCCTTTTATTTGCCTTACCAAAACTAACCAAACTCCACTTCTTTTTTTGATTGCTTGACGAGAGTATCATTCTTACTGTCCAGCTTTGCAAGGAATTCAAAACATACAGGGTTGTTAATATTACTTGCACGTAGTTCAACTCGTCCCTGGAAAAGGTTGGGACACATAGGATTGGATGAAGATCGCAAGGGACGGGCGGACTTTTGTTTAGGATATTCTGATCCTAGAAAGAAACCATACTCTCCTCATGCATTGTGAAATATGCGTACTGCCCAAGATTATTAGGACTGAAAGTAGGATTGATCAGATTGGGTTTGAGAGGAAATTACAACCTCCCGAAGTCCTCTTAAGTACCGCCATTATTGATATCTCTCAAGACTCCAATAAATTAATAGCTCAACTCGTGCTATAATGTTTATCAGAGACCCGCAATTATCTGTAGAGATTTGCCACTCGTCATTGTAAGAAGAGTGCACTTTCCTCCTCCCCTCCCAGTCACTCCAGAACCTTCGGAGCTTGGCGATCCATTCATTTCTATACGACAAGAGAACGCGGACCTGGAACCAAGTGAGTTGAATGAGATTGGTCTTTCCCTAGAGATGGGCCACTCAAGTAAAGAAAAGATAACGGACATCCAAGTTGGGACAGTGCAGGGATTGACGTACATCAAATTAAATGGACTGGCACCGGACAGAATACAATTGGTATGAGTGAGAGGAGATGCGGTGACTGCTTCTTGTAATATGGGTTGTTTATGCACAGGATTTGTACAGAAGACTCATAGAATTATGGACCAGATAACGAAATGGCGAGATGCGAAGATGATATGCTCCAGCATTTCCACGAGGGAAGTTCCAACCCGAAATGATGCGTTGGGTCCTGCACAACGACGAGGTGTAGAAGAAAAGGGTGTGGTGGGTGTTGATTGCCTCTGGAAAAGATTCAACAGTTTATGTAAAGTCATAACTCGTATAAGCAACACAATAGAACACGTTGAGACTGACACGAAGGTTGGCTCGGATATGTGAGCATGTTGATTTGTACAAAGTCGTCAAAGAATCTTCAAAGGATTGGCACGAGTACACTGTTGATAAGATCCTCGACATGGTCTACTGCCATGACCGAACTTTCAACACCGCTCGGAATGACTTGCAGAATACCACCTAGAGAAACGATTCGGCAATGGCTAGGTTTCATCTCATTGGGTACAGGCCAGATGCAGATGCACAAGCATGACTACATGATATGACCAACCAGAACATTTCGCCCGTTCATTGTTGACAAAGTACAAAAGTTCCTCCCATCTATGCCATACCAGTCATCTCCATCATGTCATTCCCGCGCCTTTCCGCGCTTCTTGCTTCCAGACTTGTCCTCATCCTCACTCCCCTCACTTCTTCGCCTTCCCGTCTCTACCATCCTCATCCCCCTTGCCCGATAGTCCTGCTCCGTCTGTGCACCCTCAATGTCACCTTGACTTCAATCGTCTCCTCCTCCTCGCGATCCTCGCCTGCTTGCCCTGTCAGCCGGCGGAAATAGTCGCGCACCCATGTAAGCGGATTATTGCGCAACGCGAAATCAAGGTTCAACGTTGACAATGGCTGCTGAAAGGCTTGGGATCGGGTGGCATGCCGGGAACTCATTGCTGTTGATGTGGAAGGTGCGTGAATGGAAGGCGAGCGGCGGCTTCGGCGGTGTCGCCTCGAGCGGGGCTGAAAGTCATCACTGGAAGAAAACGATGACCTCGACCTTTGGGATGGAGAGCGTGTACGGTACTCCCGTCGATGTGGTGAGCCATCTGGCGATCTCGACCTTTGCTTCTTCCTATCCAAATGGCGTACCGCGCGATCATCCCTCAATCGTCGACTGCGTCCACGAACTTCCGGCTCCGGTGTGTGCGGATACCGTCCCGGCTTGTCTACCAACATCTCCCGCCTTATCTCGTCTTGTATGCGCGCTTCCTTTACTCCTTGCATCAATGTATCTAGCGCGTCCTGGTGTGTGCGCCGACTTGTTTCCCATTGTGTGTGCATGCTAGTGTCAATTTGTGCGGGCGGAGGCAGGGGATGCCATTCCACGGCTATGGCGAGCGCGTCAAGCCAGCCTTGTTCTTGGATCTTGTGCTTGGTGGATTGAATGTTCTGGTAGAGCGTGAGGGAGTGGGCGAGCCTGAAGATGTTTGGGGGAAGCGTAGGGTGACCGTGTTTGTTGATTTGAGTAGAAACGATAGTCTCGGGTCGTGAGGAGACTGAGGAGTCGCGAGAAGGAGAGCGGAGGAGGCGCTGAGCGTTGCGGGCTGATGTGCTCATCTTTTTGTGCAAAGTAAGCACACAATACTGTCAGATTGGGAAGGTTGACGGAGGCCGAATGCCTAGACGTGGGGGGCTATCCCACCTTTATGCAAGCAAGACTGCGTGCTGTGTCGGTTTGCAGTCCTTCTAGGGGGAGCTACATCGATCATGAGTGAGATATTCGTGATTGCCGAGTGTTTGACCTCCTTGAACAAAGGATAGGAGGGTAAAGAACAGATATTGGTGGAACTCCTGAGATTGGAGTATACTGGAATTGCCTGGAAGGATGGAAGAGCGCAGACCTGAGAACGATGGCTTTGTCTGCGATTCGCAGTCGACACCACAACCCGTCATAACTGGGAGGACATGATCAAACGGATGGCATCACAAGAGGTGTAATTAAACCGCTGAGCCTTGCAACCTACATGTTCATGGAGACTTTATCCGAAGAAATCAGTTGACAAGGTGTAAAGCGTGGCGGGATGCTATACTGAAGAGATGCTGTGTAAAGCTTCAAGCTGCGAAGTTAACCGTTTCCCGCATCTGTGGGCTGAATTGGCAATTACCTAGATATAATCATTACTGACGCGACCAGCCGTGTTGTTTCGGGGCAGAGTTTGCAGTTCAATACTGTCTGTAGATTCTTGTTCAAGGAGTTCTCCATGCGAAATAACGCACCAACGCTGCACATAGGTTACAACGATGAACCAATGCCATGTATCGTTGGGAGTGCTACAAACAACACACATGTGTTTACACGGATATCTAGCGGCGGGATATCGCATCCCTGCTTTCACTATGTCGCACGAGACGCCCCACTTCCCCGCCACCTCGCGTATTTTTACGAAAGCTCGCATGACGTTAGCGAAAACTCGAAATCGGCGTTAACAAGGGTCCAAGCGAGCCCATCTTGCATTTTACCGGTATCGCCGAATCATCAGACTCCGACACGTCTTGCTCCGGATTGGCCTCAGACATCTCACAACTACTCCCAAGTCAGTTTCCTTAGTCAACTTCACGATGAATCCTATAAGTCCTAGCAATCTAGATATTTCCAATGACGTCTTTGCGTTGATATGCGAGGATGACATTGAGTTGACTGGAACAGGAATTCGAAAGGCGCTCATCTGAGCATATAGAGGCAGCTCAATCGGGCTTCTCTTTACAAGACAGCTGGCTTCTGCATAAACGTTCCCAGATGAAGTGGTCTTCGAGTTGCTCTATACATCCTCTCGCCGATATCGCTCTACACTACGTAGAAATTCCAATCTCTACGCATAGGCCCGGAGTGCAACATGTTGGAGCGTTGTCTGCTTTTAACCTGCCTTCAGCTACAGCATGATATAGGATTTGCCATCCTCGTCTTGCGCCTGTACATTATTGTATCAACTTCAAAGCCCATGATCTAAAAGCAACGAACTCAATTCACATTCCTTGACTCCCTTAACCTTCATTATAACACTGTTCTTTTCACTAACCGCAGCTTCTCACATATCTATTCCGCATTGATCTAGTTACCTCTGGGATCGTGACTTGACGATCTTATGTTTTCCGCTACTTTCTGTGCGTGCATCACCACAACCATTACTGCCATGTAGTGACATCAAGTACACCTCCGAAATGAAATACCCTTAATTTTCTATTGTGCTACTTGTCCACGCATACTGGCCACCGTTTCCAGCAATTGACATCTCGGTTATCTCCAAACATCAGCTTCTCTGTTTCCCCAATGGTATCTACATGTACTTACAACCACGAGCGTGCTGTTGGGTTTTCCGCCTTAGCTGAGTGATAATCCTCGCAACGCAATATCCTGGTCGTATCTTTCATTGCGCACATCAGCATGGGATTCGGGCCGTCGCCCGTATGACGGACTAATGCACATAAGGTGCTGGTCACATGCCCACATATCTCCGACATTCCCCGAGCCGACAATATTGGGGCCACGACTCCACTTCCGGTATATCAATCCCTTCACAGTGTCATCCGAAAGTGTTGCATGGTACTATTCGTAAGCCTTGAAAGTCAAAGTTGTAGTTCAAAACAGAATGAGTGATCTTATTCAACAATGTCCGGGCCCAATCTCCGTTTCAGCGCATCGAAAACAGCGTACGTTACGGTTATCATTTTCATTCAGGAACAGACCAACCATGAGGTATAATACCCATGTCACAGCATCCAAAATAGGGCATCTACGAGATTGCACTGTTACCAGAAAGATGAGGTTTTCTCCCCCTTGTCTTCCACCTCAAACCTACAGATCCAACGCCACAACCTCAACTTCCAGAAGTCAATTTGCAGTGGGTTGTAACATCGTTTGATATACTTACAAGACTTGTCCGCAGCTGCTTGAAAGACGGACTGAGGGGGTCTTCTTACCTTTTCCTTCTACTACCTATAAGTATTCACATTCACATCTGATGCATAGTTCCGTTTTGTGATATTGCTGCTCTTCTATACTTATTGGATCCGAAGCCTCCATCTGTGACATAGTCACCAAGCATCCGTCTGTATTACGTACCTCTCCTCCTACGCAAAAACACCCGATTTCATTATGAACACTGATCTGCCCATTTCGCCTCTCGGGAACATCCAGTTGTTTCATTGATTTCCAACCTTCATTGCTCTCTACGCTCATGATATCAAAGCCACAATCTTCCCATTCGCCGACTCGTCTTGTACCGCCATGCCGTAGTCCATCCAGCTATCTTCTTGTGTCTGGTATGCAGACCTTAATGGTATAACCCCACGTTTACGTTGCCACATATGTCCCTCAATTCAGTGCAATGACCCAACCCGAGCATCCCAACTCCAACAGCATCCCATTGAATACAGCCAGCTGTCCACGCACTTCCAACCTGAAGTTACTGGAATATGACCCTGCATTTATATCCACTTTTCATCTATCTCTCCGATGGAGCTTCTCTATTCAGACTTGTCCACTGAATACTAGGTTCCCCACCTCTCCAGGTCATTTCATCTTACCATCCGTTTCAAACCAACATGAGAAGCGATTCCACCTTTCCTACCTCCATCCCAAATCCTCGGTGATTCCTCACGCACGACCCGAGTAACTTGCGGCTACTCAGGCCCAATCTCTCAACGCGTAACAGCATTTCTCTGTCCTAGCAGTTCTGCGTCACTACTCGTCCACTTAATCTTTATGGTCCGATTCAAATAAGGGTATGTTCATTTCCCTTTGAAGAAGACGCATCTTTGTTCATCCATGTTGTTCTCTTGTATCGGTCCAGTACCTAGAAACTCGAACTACAACAACCTTAAAACATGTTAAACGTACCACGAGTGTACCTTGCAGCTTATGACTTCAACCCTCGCAGCTTGAGATTCACTCATGTATCAACATTTGCATCCCTCATGTCATCAAGACTTTCTATTCATTCGAACATTTACACCAAGCCAACGGTCCCTAGTTTTGTTACGGCCTGCACGATTATCCACTGCCTGTCTTCTACTTCGTTGCTGAACTTCAGTCCATTAATCATTCAGTAAGTACAAAATGCAAAAGAATAATCTTTTGTCTATTTTCATAAACTTAAAGCACTTGATCAGCCAGTTTTACCTTCTCAAGACCATCTTCTTGACCAACAATATATACAGCACACAAAAAGCACGTTATAATTCAACCTAAATGCTGCCATCCTGTATACCGTTACCTGGAATCTCCTCCAGCCCATCTACGCAGTTTAGTTTCAATAATACTTTTAATGTTGTAGAGCAGGCTTATTTACTCAAAATGAAATCTTACACCTCCATTTATTATGTATCAACATGTCTCAGACTCTGACCACATCATGTTGAGAGCGTTGAACCCATGTCATAACTGTACCAAAATCAAAGCAGTGTTTGTAAGATTATGTTATTTTGTTATAATGAAATCATCCAAACCTTTCCTTCTTTATGCCGATATCTCCTTTGTTTCGTCCCTTCACTTTGATTCCTTAGCTTACAACATCCCTCGGTCTTTTTAACTACCCATCGACATTGCTCAACTATTACAAAATCCGGGCGACACTCATGATACGCAACTCAGTTCCCAAATCTATGGCCCTCCATCCTGCAACAAATCCTTGACCTCGTGATACATTATGCTCCCTCTTCTTACAACGCTCCATATCCAAATCTTTACTACCAGACTTTCCCATTACTCTCGCACACCAACCTCTGAGCGCTCAACCTCCACGATTTCTATACCCCCCTCCAGCTCCTGCCAAGTCCAACTTCCTTGAACCTAGTCCTCATATAACCTCTTCGAACCTAACCCCACTAGCCATTCCTGGATATCCAGGCCGACCACCATCCCCTAAACATATTTCAACGAGGCAATCATGCGTTCCCAACCCCCAGCATACCACCAAGAACTTTGCGGTCCCCAAAACTCGATCACATATAGTAACAAGCTTGCCTTTCCCTTTATATGCATCACTTGTAATCTTTACTTGTCGCTCCTTCTATCTCTACGCTTGATGCGTACTAATCAATGATAAAAGCTAGAACTGTAACACCTGCCGGAGCACTTTGATAGGGGAGCACCAACGGGATAGGCCCAATCAGAAACTTCACGCAGCTAGTAATCCTCAAAACATCTTACGCATCTTTCTCCTTTGATTTGCAGGCTACCCGCACCTTATCGTTGCGACATCCAGCAAACCACAACAGAAACACAAGCTCTTCACCGATCATCCTACTTGAACATAATGTTAAGTTCCGCAATCTCGACATGTGCCATAACGCCAACCTCTCCACTTCGGATAAATATCCTCGCATTCCTGGAACTAGCTACCAACCTACGTTGTCAGAGTCTTGTAGCTTTACCATTGTCTCTTGCAGTCCCAAACTTCTCAATTCACGGCTGTGACATCCGTTCGTAAACCTCAACCCTGACACGAATCATGAGCTTGATTGCTCTACAATCTTCCAGTACGGACAACTCCATTACACTTCTATCCCTTATGATTGGTCGGTATACTCGAGCCTCTCAGCACATAGCGAACATCGCGTCTCCTATCCTTTTCTTGCCCATGATCATCATGTGAGACCCCCTGAGGTCTGATGTAACTCCGTTTCCTTATACCATCACTTCATTAACGCTGTCCGACGTGCGACTGATGGCATTGACTATATCAGTGTCTGGATGCGAGTAGAAGGAGCGTCGGACATTGATGTCGTCCGGTATAGCGCCGTTGAGAGTTTGGCCTTTTGTTTGCGGTGTTGGCCACTTCACATCCTCGATATACTCTGCAATAACTGGAGAGTTTGCGCAGCAACAATTCGGGGGTAAAGAAGCGAGATGGGTCACGATGACCGGCTGGAGCTCAGCCCACAATCTTTACATATATCTTTCCATCCAGTCTACACCAACTGGATCGTATCCCAACTTCCTGACCCACCCCTCTGTATTTCTCTCTTTCCTATTCATGGAATTCTTCAATTGTTGGAATGCAATAACTTGCCAGATCATCAGCGTACCCCGTTTTTTCTGACCCAGTCGTTGATTCTATGAGCCCGCATTCACGGCTATTTCGCATGACGTCGGATGTCTACCATCTTCGAGAGGTGTTTGGATCGATAGATAGAAGCGAATCAAAAGATTACAAGAAGCAAAATCAAGCTCACAAGTTCATATCGTATCATATGGTATTCTGCTTCGTATTCCCTCACATGCACCAATGTCCGACTCGACGCGTTTTGACATCTCTTACAACTCACTAATTTGCCGCTCGTTTCACAAGACCCGATTGACTGATATTTATCACACCTGGTCTCGAATCTCTCTAACAACGCCCATCTTTATTCAATGTACTTCCGTGAACGTTTGTTCACGGGATGAGTTCACCACCCAGACATTTCTACACCTGCATCCCGCAGTGACCAGAGTTTCTTCTTCTAAGAATCAGGATAGATATACCGATCTCAACTTTTCGTGGTACCTGTACTCCGGGATTAGGCCGATTCGTCATTGCTGCTCCTATCCCCGACCAGAGCCAAAGTCATTATTGTTTGCCATCCCAGATTCCTGCTATGAAGAGACTGTCTGGCCGTCATTTATGATCCCGTTCGGCTTGGAGAACACTGTCATACACACTGCTCAGTCGATTACTATCATTATCCGGTCCCACGTTCGGCAATTGAACATCGCTCTTTTACATATGCTAGAATATCCAGAAGGGTTTTAATTTCATTCTTCACCCACAACGTCCAATAGTTCAGGTGTAGATGCAAAATGGTGCGTGCAAGAAGTGTTATGCATTGATGCTTGTGACTTTGTCAAAATATATTCGTTTCATCATTCACAAGGAGTCACATAGTCGTATGTCGGCCAACCTAGCCACCGCCACTCCGTACATGTTCAGATACATCACGCCCGATCTTTGTAGACTACAAAAGGCCTTGAAACATCAGCCCAGGATTATAGCTAGCAGAACAAAGACACCTACGTATGGTGCCAGCCCGTTCTTATACCCCTCGACCATCCTCTTTGACTCCCCCTTCTCTCTCTGATGATACTCACCCACAACTTCGTTCTCACTTGGCCCCTCGACCCATCTTGTCTCGCGGCCTATCGGAACCAATTCCTCTGAGCCGACTCAGCTAGTCAACTCTCGTAACATGACTTAGGGGAAAATATTTTACGGCAGGACGTCAGGGTAGAAAATCGACACGCTTACATACTGAAATGGCGAGAGGTGAGATACAGACGCTGTGAAAACGGGATAGGGGAGACGAGGTGCGGTGTGTGAAGTGAGTCTGGATCGGAGTGCACAGTAGGGGCGCGATGTGTGGTGAAAAAGGGCGAGGATAGACGCGGTTGGGTTGAGGCGATGAGGTAGGGTTGATGGTTTTGTAATTGTTTCGTGCGAGGGTTTGTTTAGTGCGCAGTCTTGTGCACACGATGGAGTGATGTGCAGCACACTGGGTGATCTGGGGCGGATTGTATTCCAACGCTGCGTCTCCGCCACCGAGCCCCGCCGTGGATTGGGCCAAGTCATTCCGGAGGCCTTGAATAACTTTGAAACATCATCTTAGGCGCGTTGTTACCCGTTGATAACTTTTCTAGCGCATCGTCTATCTATGCGGCAATGACTCAATGAGCACCTCTGCGGTAATGAATTACTGAGCGTGTTCTCTGCCTTCAAGCGCGCTATCTTGATCTTGTTGAAATGCTAACATAGCATAACCTTGCGACGCCGTGCAAAATTCAGCCATTGGGTGACGATGACAACAAACCAAGGCATGAGGACGAGTGAGACAAGAGTCACCAGGGCAAGATAGCGGTGTTGGGAGTGCAATCGGCCCAGGCGGCGAGCGAGGAATGATGATTAGGCGAGAAGCTTCATGAAAGCGCAGGGCGACAAGAGAGTAAGAAGCAGTTGGATGAGGCGGGCGTAAGACGACATGGCGGATGCAAGTCGGGGGTAGTGTTCCATGTGTGCAAGCCAAAGCAAAGAATTGCACAACAGACGAACGAACGCTGCGCATAGGGTTGAAAAATACCCCTCTAACTGACTACCCCTCTCAGACACATGCGACGTTGATCATACCCGAGGCAAGATATCGTGTGCTTGGCTCGTGGTCTTACCGGAGTGTGTGTGCACAAGCTCATCGCTGCTGTCGATAGCCATGCACCTTCGCTTCCAGCCTCATGGCCGCATATCAACGCGGGAATAGCAAGCAAAATGATTTATTGATGCGTCAGATAGACCAGCACATTGTCTCGACTTGGCGAGTCAGCGGTATGCATCCGTCGCGAGGAGCTCTTCCTACTCGCGCCACCATCGTAGAGTCAGCCGAAGCTGGACAAGGTGCTGTGCATGCGGCAGTGTCGGTAATCTTGCCGAAACTGAGAAAACAAAGACAACTCCAAAAGCAGACGTGCGCCTGCCGCGAGCTTGCGACGCGCGTTGTGCATGGCAATGGGGTTGATGAAGTTGAGAGAATTGGCGTTCTCTATCCCTGCCGCTTAGCCACGAACTACACGCCAAATACTCGAGCACCAATCGGAAAACTCGAGACCGTCCTACAAAAGACGGCATTTGTGCTAGTACACTATCCAATATTGCCCTCAGCCGCGTTGATGCATGTTGACGCGGTAACGTTCAGCATAAGCATGCTGTCAATATGGTGAAAGATCTCTCGAATGTAGTATGTGTGGTGTGAGAGTTATGGATTTACTATAGAGGAGGCGCGAGCTCCATAGCTCGCGCGCTAGTCCTAAACTAGTGATGCAGACCGGGGAATCGCCCCTACCCACAAGATCGAACGAAACGGCGTAACGCGATGAGCCGGTAGCAATGTCAGGATGTGTTGTGCGTGCAGAGGTCGTGGCGCCCGCGATGGACACCTGGAAAATCAAGCTCTAGATTAGGGTGTGTATATGCGCCTCATAAGCATTGTTGCTTTCGTTGATGAAATTGATAGATTAATTTAAAGCGAAGTTGCTTAGATCTAGTGCTCTGATTGGTGCGATGCTTAATCGTATTCGACCAATCGGCGCTCGGCTCAATCACTGTCACACAAGAACACCAAACACATCGTCGCAGAAATCCACTGCGAAGACCACAGAACCCGCCCCATCGCAGATTCTTATCTATCTATATCATTTCTACGATTGCTTACCTCTTTCCCAGAACGATATGCCCTACAGCCCCAAGAATCCAAGGTCCAACGCTGCATCTTCACCGTCACATGATCTTTACACTCCCTGTCCCTGGCCGCACCTCAAAGGCCCCAGCAAACCTCCTCCTTTCTTCCCCAGTTCCTCAGCTACTCGCTCTGACTGCTCCAACTACGCTTCCATATCCTCCTAGCTCTCAACCTTCACCGGCTCGTCTTCAACCACGAGACCAGCGGAATTGATACTTTCACCACACGTGTTGACAACATCTCTAAAACCCCTGAACCCTTTTTTTCATATCCTCTCTCAGGTCTGCGAGGCGCTGAGTCGGATAGTATATCGCAATGTGGAGCTAGGTTGAGAGAGCGGTCATCGTTTGTGATGTATCGTGCAGCAACTTCATGACTTCGTCTGCCATGTAGAGTGTCAGTCTTGGAGGTGCAACACACGGATGGGATACCGTACGTGTCTCATGCATCTCAAGTAGCTGTATCTGAAGCTCCTCAGTTTGCTCATCCTTTCCCCTCAACACCTTCTTATGTACCGCAACCCCCTTCGTCAGAACATTCCCCCCATCTTGCTCGTGCGCAATTTCATCCAAACTGTGCTTCATAGTCTCGTATTCTCGTTTCCAAGTCATATCACTGCTAACGAGGGGGTCTTTTGCCCATTTCCAATCCATCTCCTCCATCCTCGTCTTTTCGATCTGGCGTTTGGTTTCTGCTGCAGCATTTGTCCGATACTTGCTTAGTTCTCGCTCGAACCCAGCCTAGGCCTTCTGGTGTATATCCTCCTGTTCTCGTAACCTTTTCTGCGTACTCTCTCGCACCATTTTCGAACGTGCTTGCTGCGCTTCGATTGTCTGCTGTGCGGTATCTAGCTCATTTGAAAGACGCGCGGACTCAGATTGTGCTGAGCTAGTTTTCTTTCGGAGTTGCAAATACATCTTGTGAGGTAGGGGGAGGAGGCGTATTGCACGGCGAAGGATGTATTGACTTCGCGGTCTTGCTGAGGTTGTTCCGCATTGAGTTCGGGTGCTTTGTCAACTTGCTGAAGGGGTTGTTGGGAAGAAAACAACGTTGTAGGTGGGATGTACTGCAACATGCCGATTGTAGTGGGGTATCTGTGTTGGTGAAGATGAACTTTGTTGATGAGAATGAGTAAACACGTCGGTCAAAAAACGCGGCACGCTGATCAGAGTTCTTGTGACACTAAGTTGCCTATCGAGAACTAACGTCTTACCCCGTAAGAATAGTTGTTTATATTATATTAGCATTTCGTCCATTCTGCACACATCTCAGTCGATGTCAGTTTGAAGACTGAGACGTTAAAGAGGCCGCTTGCCAGAAGCCCTCTAGTAGTATGTCCCTAGAACCAAACATATATTTTCAAGGGGCATGGGGTCATGGCATTTGTGCCTTTGTATTGCTTACTACTGCTTACTTGTTCGCCCAGACCGCCACGGCTTTGAAATCGAAATCTTGGCTTCCGCTCGTGTCGTGCTGATGGCATAGTTTTGAATATGTGAAAGTGACACACAAGGAGAATTAGTCATGGCCTCACTTTTTTATTATTGGGAGCGAAGGCTCTCTCAACTTTGAAAGAATGCTACGACCTCAAGATAATGTTGTGTTCAAGTGCTGACGTAGCAAGTTTTTCTGTAGGTGTCCCGCGACTAACACTGCAATCTCTACCTATCGCGCACGACAGCCACATCTGATTATGTGAATCGTCAATTCAAAGAGATAAGGTCATGCTCTCCCTTTTTTTCATTGTCGGTAACAAGCTCTTCGGATTTGAATAGCGGCCATGGCCTCAAGAAAATATCGTAGGGATGAGTGGATAGGCAGTTAGGTCTTTGTCGCGGTATTAGTATTCTAGCCTAAAATCGTTGGTCGGAGTGAGCGGCGGCCTGATCAGTCGCAGCTTTCTTGCCGGGTCTTCTTTGATATGAGCTGCGGATCCAGTGCATTGCCAGAGCATACCGACATCCAGAACTCTCTGGATACTGTCGGCACTTTTGACGTATACTCGATAGCTGTTTCTGGACAACAACATCACATCACGCCGACTTTACCTTTCCAGCTTAAGTTGTCTCTATAACCAATTGGAGGAAATGGCTCAAGATAGATAAGCAAAGAACACCAATGGTCCGCTCAGAGACACAGCTGATTCGGCTAGTCACGATGATGGGCTTTTCTTATCAACGGAGCACAGATACAAGGCAACAGCGTCTAAAGGGAACTGTGCTAGCTCGCACCAACATGTAAGATCGTTATGCATTCCCAGGATGCTCAAGATAGCAAAGTCGTCACCAGTGTCGCGGCCATGTGAATGACGTAAATACAAATGACACACACTATCAATATTTGCTGATGCTCGCCCAGCCCGGGACCAACACCGACCTCAACCGTCTCACAACCTCTCGCGCCCAAACCCCATCATCCATTCACCGCGCCACTTCCTCGCCATATCCACGTCCACCATTGCCATTGACCGCCTCCCGGGATTCGTGCATCAGCGCCCGAACCAGCCCAAGACCGCCCTGCCACTGCTTCACTATACCTTGACAAATGCCCTGCACTCCTTTCGGCTTCTTCTCCATCATCGTCAACCCGCTCTCTAGCTCTTCAGCTCATCCCACACTTTCTTTCCACGCAACTCTTCTATTGAACATGTCTTCCCGCCTTTCTTGACACGCGTATAAAACGACATACACACAACCAACACCAGCGCGTCAGCTTGGAGCGCCAATATATCCTCGAATGCAGTAGTCATCGTCCGGGGCACATTGTTAGCGACTTTGAGCTGAGCGAAGAAACTAACGTAGCATCCGTGTAGTGTTTTCTTGACAGCAGGATGGCTTGCCGGCATCGGTGAGGAGAACACAATGTTCTTCCACTGTGGGTATAAAGCGCTCGCGACGTCATCTTGGCATCTCTTCAGCACATCTGTAATCTTTTTGGCGTGCGTGCGGGCCTCAGCGGCGGAGACACTGCCAGGCAGAAGCGCAACCTCCCCTGCTGCAACGGCATCAAGGTGCTCCGGGCCTGGACAATGTTTGTGGCGCCGTGTCTGCCCAGATACACGCGACCACTCCGGGTCTGTCGCAGCGGATGCCACGACCTGCACCGTGTCTTGCGGTACATTCTCACATTTTGGCAGGTCAGCGAGGATGTCAGTCGCGGGTGGAAGATGGAGCGGGCGAGCCAATGTGTCGTTTTTCGGCGGGATGCCGAGCGCGATAAGTAGCTTGACGTAGTTGGAGTACATTGCGAGGCTGAGTAGGGCGACGATGGCGGCGTGGATGACGAGGGGGATACGGCGCGGCGCGGGCCGGCGCGGGGCCACGATGTTGAGTACTGGCATCGTGTGCGTGAATGGGGAGGTGAGGCGGCGTGCGCGTGTTGATTTGGTGTTGTTGTGCTGTAGGCGATGTGGACGTGTCGCAGACGCGTGAGACCCAGGTTGTGTGTTACACAGAGTCCGAATTTTCCACAGCATGGTCTTGCACCTTTTCTCATCAAGAACACTCTCGACGCGCCTCTTGTCTACTACTTGTCTCATTGAATATGGCCACCCCACGCACCAACTCGCCCCAGTCCCGCAACCTCGAATCACAAGTCGAATCCGCGCTGCAGAAGTCTCTCGCAGAATCAGGCTTGCTCATCGCGGAGCAGACCCCCCGCAAACGCGTCCGTCTTGACGCAAAAACCACCCAACATGGTGAGCACATCTCATCGCCATCGCCAGTGCTGGCGCCCGCTTTCCCATCATGCACATTTGCACTCATGCTCGCTGTAGTAGCCGCCGGTTTCATCGATTCTGTGTACACCCACGCCTCCCAACCCACACTCTACGCTCTCTATGCATTCCTCCTCTTGCTCGCCCTCGCCATCTTCGTACACCGCGGTCAAACACGGGAAGCACGCCGCCATTCACCCAGGCACTGGACGCATGCTGAGAACTGGATACTATGGGTTGTCATACTAGCTTGTTTCATCACCTTGGTATAGATGCTGCTCATTGACGTATGGTGAGTTGGTGGCAAGTTGGGTATCGTCCCATCAGCACAAAGAAGGTTCAGGATGTGACAGCCTAGGAAGCGGGAAGAGTGGGATTATCGGTCAGTCGGCAAGGTAGTAATTGACAGGACGGTAAGGTAGGGAAGAATGGTTGGACCAAGATCGAAGGTTCCTAGCTGGGTATGCGGGGTGAATTGTTGGGAATGTGGAGGTGGAGATAGTGAGCCGAGGGGGACAAGGCAATCGGAGGGATGAGTGAGACGGGAGAAGGGCCGAACCGCTCATGGCAGAATTGTTGGCATGGTAGGTTTATTGCATTATGTATGTTCTATGCTCAATGCGTACCCGTTGCAAAATGGTTCTACCGATGATCGTGCCTGACATCATCATCTCACAATGTACTGTACAATTTCAAACCATGACTTAAAAGCATGACGGCAAATGATTCCTAATGGTAGTCCGAATTCCAAAGTCTTCAATCTAGATTACAGCTCAAACCCCCCCAGAGAAAACGCCCGAATTCCATATAAAAAGCACATTCAAGCTACTCATCCATCACGTCTCTCAGCCACCGCCACTTCCCCAATCCCTGTTTAACAACTCCACGTCCTGTCAGTACCCCGCGAATGTGCGCACATCTGGTCGTCCTGCTAGTCCATCTCCTGTGTCACATCTTTCATATCATCTCGTAGCTAACGGCTTTCCTGCTGAACCCCCCCGTAGATGGATCCTAGCGACGTGGGGATGACGGTAAGTGGTGAAGTGCCAATGATTCTGCTGTACCCATACTTCTTGGTAGTGGGTTTGCTAAGCAGTCAGTACTGTTTCGTGGCAAAAATGAGCGTCTTGTGTACCTGGCTTCCGGCTGGCCCTCTGCTCTCACCGATCTTCCACCAGACCTCCTACGCCATGATCCCTCCAGTGGATCCACCGTTGATTCCTCCAGCGACATCCACGAACTCCGCCTACCATCCCTCGCCTGGAGTGAAAAGTCTACCGTTACGCTGGGGTAGTTTGGAACGGTTCCGACATCAAGATGCTGCCAGCACCGCTGGTTGACGGACGTGTTCTCCGCGAAACGCTCACAGCGGGATCCCTTCTGTGTAGCTGCTGTACATTGGAGATTAAATAGTTTACGCTCTTCGTCGTGCTGCCAGCAGGTATGGGTTGGGTGATCGGTCAGCCGCTGGCACCGCCGGTAGGTGCGGGTGGTTCTGCGGCATCGGATGAGTGCGGGTGTCTGAGACATGCGAAGATGATTTGGGGATGGTATGAGGGACTTGGAGTGAGAAAGCGATGGAGTGTATGTCAACAACTGTTGATTGGTACTACTGGGATCATATAGCTTGTCAGAGCAAGTCAACGATTGCTCGACGTGACTGAGACCCTGGCCACGTGAGACAACTGCAAACAAACTAAGTGTAGATCGACAATGAAGCGGGAACTAAAACGAAGCAAAGCCCAAACATCAAACTTTCAACAACCAGATTGCTATGAAGTCAGACTGGTATCTTGTCTTGTTTGCGGCTTTTAGCGGTGAGTCGTTGGCATGTTTGTTATCCGAGGTCATGTCCCCACAATGAGTTACACACAAAAGTTCAGAGACATGCAAATGGCTGCGAAGGCTGGGGAACCGTGAGAATCTAGGACATGCTGGTCTTGTAGTCTTACGTCAAGTCGCATTTTGAGCGGTGTATGCTTTGTAGATACAGTCATGTGCCTTAATGTAGTAAGCCGTATCTTTCTACGGTGCCTTCCTGTATCTTTACGTTCGGCTTCTGTCGAAAACGTAATAGTCATAACAAAATATCATGGTCAAGCATAATGGAATTAGATTTGCCATGCCATCTGAGGTTCTTAGAGTCACAACTATGCAAATTAATACTGTCTCCTATTAAGGTGTCTCTGTAGACATATTATTGTACGCTGTCTTTCCCCGCAGCTTTGGCCCGATTCCCATCATGCGTATTACACGATAATTCGGATTCTAGAGCAATGTCCTATAGCTAGTGACTTGCTAGTTTGGTAGATGTCACTTCCTTACGTAGCTTATAAGTTTCATTGAGCGTAGTAGGACGAATGATTCCTGTCTGACTTCCTACATCCTCTACTCGACCCCGACCCTTTCGCAACAACAAACAGAATTGCCCTCAAATGTAGTTTATCTAGGCATTATGATTATCATATGTTCTTCATTATGGGTGCTTTCCGAAATACCTGCTCCTAACGTGACTTGCCTAGTGACCGATTGGTTGATTCAATATGCATGACGTGCCTAGTAGAATAGTAGCACGATTACTGATTCAAGTGATTACTAAGCTTACACACGTTGCCTCGGAGCTGGATTAAAGTTTCTCCAAGATAAAGCTCTTTGAAGCTTGCTACAATAACTTAAATAAAGGCTTCTATAACAGTTATAACTCTAAAACACAATCTAGGAGTATATTAGTTGTAGATAAGTATTATATCATAATTACGTTGTGCTGTGCTGCAAATCCAGAGATCAGATATCTAACCGATTGGCTACTAGGCAAGTCACGTTAGGAGCAGGTATTTCGGAAAGCACTATAACAGTCTTTTCATTGACATTCGAGCGGGGATATTATTACGATGGTGCATTTCAAATTGTTAACCGCCAATTTCGGACCTGGTGCCAAGTTCTGGGAGGGACATATTATTCAGCCGTGATAAATTATCGCTCCACCAGATACTTTGGGAGTCATGTGACTCAGGTCCGTCACGACCTCGATGTATCCATGTGGGAACCGAAGTCATTATGGGCATTTGACGATCAATCATCACTGTACTTCACATATACACGTTGATAACGACTGTACAGAGATTGATCTTCAGTAACAGAACGCAGCCAATGAGGTCTGTATGTATGTAGTTCCAATGCGGAATGCATATTGGGAGAAGTCCAGTAGATATCAACGATTATGTTCGAGCGACGACCATGAACCCAGCGAATTCATCAGGTCAATCAAAGATTGTAATGCTCACCAGACAGATAGTGCAAGAGAAGTCGTAGAGATTGTAAGTCCGAAAACGGAGCAAGAGTCTTCACATACGTTGGTATTTTGCCTCAGTATATGTTTGTCGTAGACTTGGTCTTTGATAGCTATGCCGTATCTCCATTGACACACTTCCAAGCTGTCTATTCACCCTCCATTATCCTGCCCTCTCGCCCTTTCTTAGCTTTCGCTCCTATGGACTTTTGTTGAATTTTGCAGACACCCTAGCCCACATCTTCCGCTTTTCTTCAGCCTTAGTGGCAGCCGCCGTGTCTTCTTGTTTCTAGTACTCCAGTATCGCTGGCAACAACACTATCTCAAATCCCTTCAACAGCCCCGGAAATTCTGGTGCTGCATCGTGGAACACTCTCCAGGCCTGTTGCTCTTCAAAATGTTGACAACTGATCTCGTCTTGGAATCTTTTTGCCTCCGTCAACGGACTGGAATCCTCTAGGTATACAAGTTCGACAATTTTATAGAAGCCTTGTTTTGATACAGCGAACTTTAGTGCAAATCTCTGTATGCAACAACAGCCCCGCTTTGAAGTCTCTCAACGCCCGGTGATGATGCGTGGCTATGTGGCAATGGATTTGAGACTCCTGATTCTTCGCAATTGTCCGAACCGTTGACATCCTCACACATGTACACGTTCTGCCTCGAATTCTGGTCGCTACGGTTTCCCTGAGGTTGGTAATCCTAAATCGAGCTTATCGAGCTGTCCTGTGGGGCTTCCGACTCTCCGTCGACTGCGCTGAAGACGAAATGCGAGCGTGAATGTTCATCCCTCACCAACCGCAAATATGAGAGATCATAGCGCATATGATCCAGAAGATAGCAGACCCACACAAGATGGCGGCTGCTATCATGCTCAGATTCGGTGAGGGTGCTTTCTCGGTATACAATTTCTTTGTATCGCTGGGCGACCATGGCTAGTGTCACTTGTGGATATTGCACGAATGCAGTCCAGGGCTCAAACTGAAAGGCGTTATCTATCCGACTAAGCCTTGCACGCTCGGCAACATTATCTGCGGTTCGTTTGAAGTTGACACGACGTATGTCGCTCTCCGCATCCCACAAGTCTTTCAAGAGCGCTGCCTTCCCGTCGCAGATGGCGTAGTATCGATTTGTCCGGTCATTCAACTCATGCGTGAGATCATGAATGGTGTCGTCTCTAGTGGTAAGTCTTTTCATTAGCTCCTTGAATTGTGTCGTCTCTATATTGCTGCGCACAGTGATGGGGTCATGCAGTAGTGATGTAAACAAGGAAACAAATATCAATGGTCGGTCCCAGGGTTCGGTGTCTCAGACTGTCAACACCAGGTTTTATCATATGACCGGCTTTTCAAAGCATTGCTCTCCATTTCAAAAGGCTGTATAGTACCTTCTGTTTTGACCGGCCCGGGGAAATCCGCACTTACAATCTAGAATCTATGCTCGAATGCAGGATGGATAATAAGTGTTGTAACGGCTGCTCGATTCTATTCACATGTCAGAGCATGGATAGAACCACCTTGTCATAGAAGTGGTTAAACGCTCATTACGATCAACGACCTTTTGGATAGACAGTATAACGATCTTTAATCAAGCGGTGCGCGTCCTCTTGCTTGAAAGACCTAGTCACCGTAGATACCGCATATAAAGCGGCTGCTCCAAACTAACATACTGGAAACCAAGAGATTTTACTACTTTTGTTTTGTGCATGGGTAGATATGTCTAAATAAAACACGAAGAAAGACCAAGTGCGATTAGTTGAATGTGAAAGTCCTAGCGTGGAACGATCAAGTTCAGTAGACATTGTGTCAGCGTGTAGGAAAGCGGCCACGATGACACCCCTGAATATAAGATAACGCGCGAACAGGAATTCTATATAAGCATCAAGTAAATGCTGGGAATACATGGCCTCGATCGCTCGTCGAAGGTCGGGCTTTGCGAAATTCAACCATGCAACACATGGTCCGCCTCTTGAATGTTCTCAGAGAAACGGTTGGGGCTGAGTAGACCTAACGATGTGGTGATCACCTGGATAAACGGACATTTCACAGAAGGCTGAATCACTTTACGATGAGCGCTTTTTGGCCCTAGTCAAGCATAGTAGTGATAGGTACCGTGGCTTTCAAGGGCACAACACTGACATAAAGGTTGAGACACCCAAGTGCGCAGGCCAACGGATTGTTCAAGCATGCACCCTTAGATATATAACCTCAGGATTCGCGCCCAAGAAAAGCGCTCCCAAAATTGGTTGACAATAAAGCTTGCTAGTGTATAATTCTATCATCTTATCCCTGACAAGTTTCTAGACTTAGGCACAGGCACAGATCTTCCATGAGAGTTTCTGAAGCAAAATCTCTGGTTCGACAAGGTTTGGAGCAAACAAGAGCTGGAAATAGTATATTTCGGTGATCTATTAAGGGAACAATATCGTACCAGTAAGTAATGGCGGGCATATGTTTGTGCAATGAGAGAGCTTCAAAGGGTAGATTCTCCGTGCTTTTGGCCAGGTCGTTGCGTATCTAGGGAACATAGTATTATGTTAAAAGCAACGACGAGAAAGTTGACTTAGCAACTGTCGCGACCAAAATACCGATCGATCGATAGCTCGGTGCGCGGCTCGTGACTGTATATACCTGCTTCGACAGCAACTAATACGATTTTTTCTCCAGTTTCTGTGGCAGACGAAAGCACGATCGCACTATGCCCAAATGCTGAAGATGTAGGTCCCAAGATGTAAATCGAGTCTCAGAGAAGCTTATCTTGAACTACATTCCTACCTATGGAGTTTAGTAAAGAATATGTGTCACGATTATCAGCTGGAGGTGTGGAGTCTCCGAAAAGCGTCCGATACCAACGTGATGTTGAGCTTCACCTACCAATAACCTTGATGGGGATAAATAGTTTGGCGCGTGCTTGTGTTATTTACATATTGCAACTACCCCCGTTGCCACCTTTGAGCGAACCTTGAGGAAACGACCAGAAGTAACTTCTATTTTTCTCCTCGCACGGATGGCTGAGTATGCCGCACCAATTAAGATAGAAGTTATGCACAGCATGTCTAGTTTCGTAGATACCTTCGGTTAAACCGGAATCTCCTTGATCTCATATCAGGCCGAAAGTGCAAGTGATAATGCTGGTCGGTATCGAATTTTTCAGAATTATATGTTGTAAAATGCGGTATAGTAATGCATATATCTGTGTTTGTGGTCACACCTGTACAAGCGTTGATGAGAAATTTACATTTAGTCTCTGCTACGGATATGGACGTTTTGTAACGTACGGGCAATCTTTCCTAATTCTATAGTCAAGAAGCTTGCATCTTGCTACTATTTCACATTTGCCGACTCCTAGGGCAGGAAAAGAACATTTGCGTTCAAGGTTGCCCACCGTAGCTCGAAGATTCCGAACTGTAAAATCTATAAGGGAAATGAGTGAGCAAGCCATACAGTAACGACTGTCGGACTTTGTTGGATTACACGCGACTTTGCTCGTGAAAGCCTTTCATATTGCTCAACACAGATCTACCCCCGGCACATAGTGGACTCAAATTTCTAAATGGCTCTCTGAGTGGCTTGGCGACTATTCTCCCACGTTTCTGTGAGAACTTGGCATCAAGTGACAGTTTCTCCATCCGCAGTCTATTCTGGCCAAACTCTATACTTTTCACTTTGTTACCCGAACTCAACAACGGCCATCTCTAGATCGAGATCACGTTATGTAGCGTAAATTCGCAGGTGGTAGTAGACAGCATCAATCGATGTGTGGGGGTATTCCTGAAGCTGCATGAAGATGCTATGAATAAGAATTTAACGCCTGTCTGGGGAGAAGCCTATACTTCTCACAACTCGTCCGCAAAAGATTGTCACCCAAGTACACCCGGCCCAACCGAAGTACACTCGCCACTTGCTTGTTGTGCAAGCACTTAAGACGCTTTACATATTGCTGAATCTTACAGGAGATCTTTTATGTCAATGATATACATATACTCGATTGTGCTAACACTACCCATTTGATGGTCTCTTGCAACCGCAATATAGTTATGGAGACAATAAACATCATAGTCACGATAATCTTGGACTGTGGTGTGTGTAATTGCGATGTCATTGTTATGCCTACTAATAGACCGGAGAGTGGTTAGATCCATTATGTTTCCCTGGGCTTACCATAATCTGGATTAACGCTCTGGTCATCGGCTACATAGAATATAATGTAAAAAGGTTATGTCGTGACCTTTTAAATAGGCGTAAACTGGTTCAGCCACGTTCTTCTCTTGCCAGGTATTCCTACCTGACGGACAACCCTGGGCCTTGCCAGTAATGTTGGAATTGATCATGTTATTGTGAAAGTGGTCTGTAGTAATTGTTTGATTCAAATTTGGCTTGGGAAGTAGGCATGCATAGTGTTGAGCGTCAATATTGATATTCTTGAAGAAGCATCTGATATCATTACCGGTGTCCTTCCCAGCAACTGCACGACTCTATGACTATGTGATTTTAGTCGCGTTTGCGATGGTTACGTCTTCGCCTTGTGAAAATCGTACCGCAGGGATAGTCTGTGTCGCGAGTCATGAATGATCATTCTAGTGCGCAGTGGCATTTCATGACGTCACAAGATACGTCAGAGTAACTCGGACCTGGTTTCCGGGCCGTGCGTGGCAGGGGTGTTCCTTATTGGTTGTCTCGCCTGCTGCGTGTGCGGAAATACACAACTTCGGATGCCTATGCAACGATGTGGTCGCACTTTGCATAATACACATGTATTGCGTATACCGCCTAAAACTGACCTATTCACAGCACCGGCAGGTTCTCCTTAACGTGCACTAGCGCCTCCAACCAGAAACAAGTTGTGCCTTGACGTGTGACTTGGTGTCGCAACTTCCGGCCCTACTGAGTGCGCAAACAACAAAGGAATTCAAGATCAAAGGGTACCCGCTTTGCGAAAGATATCCTGTAGAGTCTTACGACGCGACGCGCAGGCTGACGTGAGACATGTAGGCAACGTGCATGCGAAATACCTAGTCAAGGACACATTCTGCATTGCGAGTAAAATCGACTCGTCACTCCTGTATGTTGCAACGTAGTTCTCCTTTCTGGTGCCGATGTCTCGTGCTGTGTGTGGGAGGTTTGCCTGGTCTGCACATATAGTCGAGCACCTTCCAGACAAAGCGCTAGGTTTGTATTACCTCCAAAACGCCGATGCTGCGTTGTGAGACAATGACTAGCTTTTGGTTGTTTGTGTGGTGGCTTTACCCTGTGTCTTTTGTTCGGGGCGATTGCATCCATGAGTCTCATGTTAACTCAGACAAAAAGATTTCGTTGCTTGGTTTGCTTTATCTTTCGACGATACAAATATGTGACGATTACACTCACTTCTTGCGATCCGCCGCACCACAAAAGACATATCTATCTTCTTCAAAATCTCATCACATACCTTGACATCCGTCGACCACCTTACAGCTACCATGAACCAGTCCCACCGCCGCAAGGATGGCCCAGATCCCACTGAGCGCTCATCACAGCTCAAGCACAATCATCGAAACTCCGCTTCCGAACACAACGAAGGAACGCGACCTACCCTCGAACAGCTACAAACCGAACAGAAGCAAGGGGCGCAAAAGCTGCAGATGCAGATCGATGACCTTTACTACAACGGTATCAGAAAACTGGATCACGAGATCGAGGAACTCGTGGACGATGCGACCGCCCAATTTCAGCTTATGGGAGAACGTCACCATCGCGAGATGAGGGAGTTGCGCAGCGGCTTGAACATGGATGTTTGGGGATGCATGTCCTACAAGAATCATATTGAGGGCCTGCGCAAGGAATCTGAGCGTCGGCTTTGTGAGTTGTGGATGTATATCACCTTGATGAGCGTTGTTCTGGTAGTGGGCTTCGTGCTGGGTATGGATCCAATGAATGCGGACAGTGTGTGGGTAGAATGCGTGTAACAGGATGGAATTTTCGATGCTGTTATCATTGGTAGTGAAGGTTATGGTTCATGCAAGACAGTAGTTAAGTAGTTTTCAATCAGAGTCTCATCTTGCAATCTTCAGTAATTCACTGTGTCGGTTTTGCCAGGCCCTTCCTTCCCCCCTTCGTCTTGGATCGTATCCCGTTCTTCTGTCATCACTTAAGCTTCTGATACATGACATCGTGACTTCTGTATCCTTTCAGGATCCTCTGAAGTGTTCAAAATATCATATAATCCACTCTCTAAATTAAGTGGTCTCTCTTACCTTTGCATTTGCTCTCCTGTTCCTTACGGCTAGAGTATTTTTTGTGACATAGAACGCGCATTTCACAGACATGCATTGCTCATACTTGAACAGCGCTTCGCGTTGACCAAAACCCAATCAGTACTGTAACTACACAATGCAACGCCGGAGGACAGGCACTCAGCCGACGAGTATAAAGACAAGCTTCGCACCATGTCGAGCTTTCTCATTATGAGGGACAGGTGAATGCGTGAAGAGAGAGTAGGATCTGTAGGGCTGCACGAATATAACGAAAGACCAAATACGTACAGCTGTGCCACTTTGAACACACTCGGCATCTTTCCAAATAGGCCGATTCATCAGATGCGAGGGGGTGGAAGCACGAATCATCCATGCTAAATTTCCAAGTGTCTCGGCCGATCCACCACCAACGAGTGGCAAGCTTCAGTGGACAAGATGAGAGTTCCGAATCGCTTAAGGATGGGAGTGACGTCGAAGAACATTACTCGGAAGACGCCAGCAATAGAATCATACGGACAGAAAATGTAGAGGATACAACCTCGCATGAACAGCGCATCCCGCAAGCGCCGAAACCGAGCAATGAAACTCGGGCTTACATGAATTACGGGAAAATCATACCTCTTCTCAGTCGTGAACACAGGAATGTCAGCGAGATGTTGCGATCATCTCTGGAGGAGGCAGAAGAACAAAGAAGACTGGTTACTCATGGGCATAACAAGAAATCGAGGCAGCAAAAGCGACCTTCGGAAATGTCCTCACCCTCCTAAAAAACCAACGAATCCCTACTTCTAACCAAGAGCCTGATCAACAAACACAATGGGCCGCCATGAATGCTAGATCAGATGAGTTCATGGTGCAGATAAACACAGCTCTGACGGTAGTCACTTCAACAAATTCGATACTATAGTAAACAACTTCGACGACCTCAACGTCTCCCTGGCAATGCCCCAGAGAAACATTGGCATCACAACGATTCTGCAGAAACTTGGGGCCATGCCCGAATATATTGCCGGATGTTTCGCGACGTCTTCAATAGCAGATATACACAACTCATTGCAACATATTCTTAACGAGATCGAGATGAACAAACCTGCTACGCCCGAAGGTATCTCTGCGGACATAAAGAACCAACAATAGGATGCTACCTAGGCAATCGCAGTCCAACTAGAATATCTCGAGGAACCGAAGAGGTCCGTACGTAATCAAGATGAAGACATGACTACAGCCCTTGGACTACTCAACGAATTCCACAAGAGAATGGCGAATACTGAGAGTGAACCGTCCAAACCTTGCAAAATGAACTGGACAAACTCACAGCAGAGCACGAGAACGTCACCGGTGCTTACAACACCCTCGACGAGAAGCACAAAACGTTCAATGCTGACAACAACACCTTGAAATTGCATCACGCTAACCAAATTGCCAAACACAATGCTCTGAAGTCAGAGCACAAGAAGGTGACCGATGCTCACAATATGCTCGACATGAAACACAAAGCTCTTGATGCCGAACACAACACATCAATATCAGATTACGACACCTCAATTCTAAACAAAACACCCTGAACCATAACTACACCAAACTCAATGCCGATTACAAGTCTCCTAAGTCAGTCCACGCCGCCCTTCAGACCGAGCACGAAGAACTTCGGGAACTGTACAGGGCATTGGGGAACGAGCACGAAGAAGAATACACTGACCACAAGTCAAAGCAGGAATCGACCTACGATCGATTTGATCAAGTCGAAGATCTGAAGTTGGAGCTTGATAGTGACACATAGATTAAGAAAAGACAGCCATTCGAGATACGTATGTACGGGTGGGGTTTAGTAGATGATGAAATATATTGGAACCGCATTGGGAATCGCATTGCAAGTGAGAACAGGGGGGAGATGCTGTAACGAAAGTGTATGGCGTATACGGCCATCTTGATCATGATGTACAGCAGAGAGCAAACTAGGAAAGCCGATTGAGAGATGGATGGGCTGTAGGTATGTACAGATAGGTAGATAGATTGGATTGAGTAATCCCTCCTTTTTTATGCGGGAGAGGAGACGAACGAGCGCAGAGCAAACATATCATAAATCTAAGGTCTGTGATGGATGATGTTTCTGTCAATACGACGTCGCTACCACTGCGATCTTGACGTACCATTGTACTGGATAGAAATATTTTGAGAGTTTCAACTACTCGAGTTGATGTAATCTCATACCCCCTTTCTGAACTGGAGATAGCAACCAGGATTACATGTTTACATAACCCAGTTCTAAAGGTACAAGCTTGTAACTTCTTCGGCATCTACTCAACCTACGTCTTCTAGTTCTGAGCTTCGACTAACCTGTAAGGTGATGTCGTGTCACTGTGACTTTCCTGGTTTACAAGATTAGTTGCTCTGTAGAGCGTCCTCGATCACAGAACTGAGACATTTGATATTGCAAATCGACCATAGTTCTTCTACTCACATGGCTTTTCGCTTGTATGTGCAAACCCAGCATAGCGATTAGTGTACCTCTAGCAGGGTATTCAACTTACAGTTTGCTTAGTTCGTCTCAAATGCCTACTTCAGCTGTTAACTCAAGAATCGCATCTTGATAATGTCTATTTCTCACTGCAGGAACCAGGAACTAAACTGTTTAGTCTTACACGTCTTAGAAAGGGAAGCAGCAACTAAAATGCGTTACTAGTTAAGATTTAGGAGTCTTACGTTTTTGGCACGCAGTTTTCAGATACTAATTATATTATAGTGCTTTCCAAAATACCTACTCCTAACGTAACTTACCTAGTAGCCAATTAGGCAGTTCTCTAAATTTAAGCTGTTATACAAATTTATTAGCAAAATTAATTAAATAATAAATCCTATATACCTTAAATAAATTTTTTCTTAATTATAATTATTAAAGCCTTAATTTAAGCTATCTTAATATATTTATAGTATTATTAATCTAGAAACACATTAATCTAATACTAGAAAAAGATAAGATAGGAGGTAACACTATAAGAGCTACTAAAGGAGCTACTATAAAAAAAGCTAAAAAAGCTACTAAATAGGCTACTAAGTAGCTTATAAGGCCTATAACAGCTACTAAAAAGAGACGCCTATTAAGTAAGCTGCTATAGCCTATATAGAAGTATCTAAAGGTATCTACTTATTACTAGAAGCCTACCTATAAGCCTGCCTATAAGCCTACCTATAAGTATAAGTATATCTATAAGTATACGTTATAAAGCTCTCTATTTAAGCTAGAGTTATAGCTTACCTAGTCTACTATAGCTACTTAAGCTACTAAGCTTACTAGTAAGCTAAGTAATAATAAAGGCCTTAAGCTAATTTTAATTAATAGTAATAATAATAAGAAGGAAGAAAATAATAAGGATAAAGATATACTATTAGACGCTAAAATTACTAGAATTATAGTAGTAGAAGCTACTGTAGTTAATATTAGTAACAGCTACAGCAGCGTTAGTACTATAGTTAATATTAGTAATAAGCCTAGCAGTGTTACTGCTAAGGTTAATGTTATTACTAGGCCTACTATTATTAGTATTAATAGTAATAGAGAGCTATAGGAGCTACTAAGGTTACTAGAAATACTACTATTACTATTACTACTACTACTATTACTATTACTAGTACCTATTATACTAATTATTTAGGTTTACTAGCACACTTATTTTAAGAACTTAGGTAAAAACCTAGTAATAAGCGCCTTTAACAGCGTATATAATAAGATACTTACTAGCCTATTAGCTAGCTACCTATAGGCGTAGGTAGATAGTATTATAAATAGGTTAAGGCCTTAGCTAGTTAAAATCTTAAGTTTATATATAGTTATTTACCTAGCTTACTAGAATAAGTAGAATAAAGTTATTAAGTTATTATAGTAATATAATATATACTATTAGGCTAAGTTTTATAAGCTTATAAAGAATATCTATAGTAAGTACTTTAGCTAAATATTTATTAATTTTAATCTTATACTAGTAAAGAAGTAGCTACTATAGTAACTACTATAGTAGTAGTAATAGTAGTAGTATAGAGAGTAACTACTTACTATTACTATAATCTAAGAGAATAGACTTACTACTACTATTACTAGTAAGATAGCTAAAAGTAGTACTGTAATTAGAATTAGAAACTTCTAGAGATACTTAAATAATATATATAGTAATTATCTTTATACCTATTAGTAGCTACGCTTAAATAGCTAGCTAGATTAATTTAAAAGGTACTACTTTATTAATAGTAATATTATTATAAGATAGGCCTATAAAGTTATACTTAGCTTTAGCTTAATTACTAAGCCTAGTAATATAGTTCTAAAGATAATTTTTAATATAAAGTAGTAAGCTAATAATAAGAAGTTAGCTACTTAGATAAAGCCTAATATAGTAGTAGTAAGCTTATTAGTAGACTTTAAAACTCTTATAAAGCTTACTATAATAAACTAGCTTACTTAGCTTAATATATTATAAACTTAAGCTTAAGCCTAAGCCTAGTTTCTATCTTAGTTTAAAATACTACCTCCTTAGCTATAAACTCTATATATAAGCGTAGGCAGTATTATACCTAGTCTATTATAATAGGTACCTATTAGTAGTAATAATATTAAGTATAAGGTATATATAAGATTATTTTTATTATAGTAGTACTTACGTTGCCTAAAGCTGTACTAGGTATAGAAGAAGATTAAGAAAACTATTATTACTAATAGGTATTTTAATATTAATATACTACTTAATCTAGTAGTAATAATAATAGAAATATAGACATAGTTTTTTAAGATTAGGCCTAGGTTACTATTAAAGCTGTAGGTAAGAGTAATTAAATAAAAGATAATATACACTAGCCTATTAATAATAGATTTACAGGCTGTTATTTTAGTAAGGAGGTATAAGGCTAATTTACTTAAAAATATACTAAGTCTTAGTAACTTAGAGTAAATAAGGGCAAAATCTATAGGCAACGTAGATATAGTATAATATAAGTTTTATAAGTATTTTTTAAATACTTTTAACTATAATACTACTCTATACTCTAAATAACTTAGAATTAAAACTACTTACTAATATAAGTATATAGAGATAGCTTATAAATTTTTATTCTACCTATATTATAATCTAGTATTATAGTATTAAGTTAAGTAAAATTACTCTTATAATTATAGTCTAAGTATTAAACCTAATTATTTTACTCTAACTTATAGTTAACTTACTTCTTTACCTTACTAATATAGTACTGTTTATAACGTCCTACCTTATTACTTTATACTTATTTAGTATTATTTTATATATATATTATTTAGCAATCTATTTATTACTCTGCTAAGTAGTTTATATAAGTATATATATTAGAAATTACTACTAATCTTTATTAAAACTCTAATCTTAACTATATAAAAGTAGTATCTCTAGTAAAACTAATTAGCTAAAAAGGGTCTTCTTATAGGCTAAGAAAAGAAAAAGTAATAGCTTAAGCTAGGTATTCTACCTAGCAAAAGAGTTATACTTAAGATAAGAGGTAAGGCTATATATTTTTAAAGTTTTTTTTTAGTAATTAAGAGTTTAAATCTAGCTTAGGGTAATTAATCTTTTTTACTTAAATTATACTTATTAATTAAGGTAAGATCTGTGCTAGAGGAGGCTAGTAGTAAGGGTAATTATAAAATACTTAAGTATTACTAAATAATAACTCTAGCTATACTACTTTACTAAAACTTAATAGTTTTATACTAAACTTTTTTTTTAAATAGTATACTATTAAATAAGTATATAGTTTAAATTCTAGCTAAAATAATTAAGGCATTACTAAGTAGTACTACTATAAGTTAAAGTTTAGTATATTAGTAGTTTTACTAAGTAATAGCTTAGTATAATAATATAATAAGTTAGCGTCTTAACATAACACTGTAATTTTATAGCTATAATAATAGTACTAATTTCTATAGTCTTACTTATAGTAGCTCTAATTAATAGTATACTTTAAGAAGAACTTAAAATTTATAAACTCTAAGCTCTTTATATACTACTTTATCTAGCTTTTTAACTACTTAAAGCTCTTTTTAATTAGGTTATAATCTAGTAAGTATAATAGTAAAAACTTAAGAGCTACTCTAGCTTACTTATAAATTTTACGCAGGCGTAGTAACTAATAAATAGAAGTATTATCTAGTAAGATTATGTAGTAGTTTAGTATTAAGTATAGTAGTATATTAAACTCTAGAAAGTCCTCTATAATAGTTAAAGTAATTATACCTTAAAAGACGCAGTAAGTAAGGTAGCTATTTATAGTTATTATAGGTAGTAAGCTCTATCTTTCTAATCTTTTAAATAAGTAATAAAGCTCTACTAATAAGTTAATTCTACTTTAGCTATACTTATAATTACCTATCTACTTATTATACGTACTTTTATTAATAGTAATAATTTGCTTAGTAGCGTAGTATTACTATATATATACTAGAAAAAACTACTATAAAGCTAAGCTCTATTTAGCTACTTACTTTATAGTAATTTTATAACTATACTAAAGCTTTACTAGTGCCTAATAGACTACTAAGAAACTTAGTTTAATACTAAGCTTATTATCTATAAACTTCTACATTTCCTCTATATACGCGTATAGGCGCCTGTTAAGGTAGGCCTAGAAATAATTTAAATAGGCTTACTGCAGCCTAGGTAGGTACCTAAGATTAATATAAGTAGGTAAGTATAGCTGCCTCTAGTACTCTAATAAAAGCCTTATTCTGTATAAAGTACTAAGATAGATACTAGTCTTATAGAAGATTTAAGTATTACTATAACTAGCTAAAATCTAATTAATTACAGCTTATTAAGTGCGCTTATTAAGCTAGTAACTAGTAGGCTAAGGTATAGTAGCAGTAGTAGTAGTAGCAGGAAAATAATAATAACAACACTAGCTTTTAAGCTATATAAATAATTTATATAGGCTTAAAAGCCTTAAGTACTAAATTAAATACTGTATAAGCTTACTTATTATATAAATTATTAATCTTAGTACAAATTTACTATAGGCGCTATGTTTAGAGATTTAACTAATTAGCTACTACATAGGTTACGTTAGGAGCAGGTATTTTAGAAAGTACCTATAGTTCGGCGATTAGTTATATCGCGAGTTAATAGGCAATTGCCCAAATTAATGTATCTATGCTGAATAAACTATTATTAGTCGTGGGTGAGGACGGTGGTATTTTCGCCAAAGAGGTTAGGAAGGAGAATTCAATCGAAGCTTGGATGCAAGAAGATACACATAACGTTTATAGAAGAAGTGCAAACAAGTGTCTATATTATCCAACGCTATAACGCCATTAAAACAAAAGTCTATTCTACAATCAGTCACATCCTCTATGTTATTACCTCGAATGCAACACACGTCTACACCCACAGTCTTGCCGGACTTGTCCCCTTTCGCTCATCAGGCTGAGACTTACATTTCTTCCTTGCAAACTCGCCAGTACATTCAGATCACCATTGATAGTCAGAAACCTCGCTTTCTCAGTGCACTATTCCCGTCTGAGAGAATTGCCAGGCAGCAAGGTATCGTGGTGATTGTTAATCTCACTGTTTCCTTTCTCCTGACCGGTTGCGGCAGCATGACATCACCCATCGACAAGCCCGCTATGGCCTTGTTCAGCTCCTCAATTTCTTGCGCCACTCCGCTGAGACCGACACTCATGGTTGTGATGGCCTGGAAGCGCATGCCAGAGGTGTTCGTGGGGTTGTTTACACTGCGGTACAAGACTTCATCATTAACATCGACCAGATATTGCATCTCGTCGTGGAGAGAAACAGCTTGTTGGGTGTTGTCAAACAGGGCTCGAGTTATCACATCGCCAAGGATAGCACGCACATCGGCTTTAACAGCCGGACGGCGACGAAAGAAATCATGTTCTGGAGCAGAAGCGAGGATCATCGCTGATGTGAAGCTGGAGTTTGAAGAGGGGTTAGAGGATGAACCTCGAGTTTGACGACTTGATGACGACGAGCAACCACTGGCACAAGCTGAGCGGTTGCGGCCTTGCATTGTCGGGGCGGGAGGGACGCTGAACCGGTCAAGGAAGGCGCTCTGACCAAATCCTCCAGACACATCATTTCCAAAACACTGGTTCGTTATTAGCTTCATCACATTCATCGTCTTCCTCACCAAAGGATTCCTCGTCGCTGTCTGAGTCGGTGACGTCTGGAGGGTCTCGACGGCTCCAATCCGCCTTGGGCTGCTGGTTCCAATCGGCTTTCGCGGCGCCATGTATCTAGCAGCGTACAAACTTGCCATGAAGCTGATGCGGGCGTGACGTGGTAGATGATTTGCGTCATCGAGGCATGCCCTTGCGGCTCATGGCGGCGGCCTTGCAAGTGCGACGACGCTTAGAAATATCAGTAGATCGTTGTGATGTTCTTGTTCAAGAGTCGACGTCTTGAGATGCTCCATATGGGGGCTATATGGGCACGACAAGAGGATGATGAGTGAGATCGACATTCTCAGTTGGGAAGGGTGTATGTTGTATTCACTTTGATCATTTCGGATGTAGGTATCTGGACGGTAGCAGGGCAAGTTTGTTGGATTCTGGAAAAGATTGGCGACGGTGGTTTGAGTGTGTGAATTGAAAGTACTGTAACTACCTACTCTTTTACCACACGGTTGTGTGATCGGTTCGCCTCTCCGTGTTGATTATTTCCTGATGTCTTAAACCCAGTCAAACACATTGCTCACGCTCTTGTTTTCGATCGAGGCCATTTACCTCGATATTTGCTTTGTTTGTGACAAATCGGCTATCAGCAAAAGCCTTGCTCGATAGAGATGCCCTCGATTAAATCCAGATGTGATGTTGGCGCAGATACGAGTCACCGTATCCATCGGGTGTATAAATTTGTTTGGACTGAACCTATGGTGATATCTGACGAACATCAAGAAAGGAAGTTAGATGGTATACCATGAAGTTTAGTTCAAGAATCATGCGACTGATCTGAGATTGACTCTGTGTCTTGATCGAGGCCTTGATCGTGCTGCGTTGCAAAGAAGCTGCAGCACACTGCAACCATTGAATGTCTCATCTCGTCGTCTGAGCCTCTACATGTCTGGAAAATCGAACCGTAAGGCAATGATGGAAGACAGAGGTTGTACTTATGTATGTACAGTCTGATTCATGTACGTAGTCGTGATAGCGCAGTCGAATAATAGCTTTTTATGTTTCCAACTTTGACACTGTTTGCCTGTCGGTCTTGAATCTTGTGACATTCAACGCTTGAGCTTTTTAAATGAATTAGCTACAGGGCGAGTACCTATAGGTAAAAGCTTTATTTACACTGGACACATCTTTCAACAAACGTTTCCTCAATGACCCCAAACTCACTGTGCATCGCCGCAACACGACAATTCTGGACGCTTTCCTACTCACCGGTTCGCCAATACAATGAACAATCTATCTGTTACCCTACCTAACAGGAAGTCTAAGTATATGCCATCTACTTCACAGGATACTCGACGTAAGGAAAAGCTTCGCCGACACATGACCAATGATACAAACTTTCACATCAACCACCCTGACGCCAACCCGCACACACTTACTGACATCCAACATGCCCATGACAGCCATCCCAGTCTTTATTTTCAGGCCTACGGTTATGGCTACACAGGATCTAGTGCCTTCAATCCACCTCAAGCAGACCAGCCACATGATGCCGTGGTTGCACAGCTATACAAAGATTACGCCCTGCTCAAGGCTGACAGCCAGAAGCTCGGCTACACTTTTGCCCAGCAGTTCCAACTGCATATTGAACCTGAAGCCAAACACGACAATCTCTAGATCAAGACCGATGAGCAGCAGAACCATATTAAGCACCAGACGAAATTTGCTTCTCAGCTCGTGAAACAGACCGATATGCTGACGGATGAGTGTGCTGCCGGCAAGGACAGAATAATATGGCTCGAGAAATGCGTGCACCAGATGTATAATATTCTCATTGAAAGGAACAAAATGCGGTGTAACATCTCAGAACCAACTGCGGATGTGATTCCAGCCATGGACAGACGAGCTCAGGAGATACGAAACAGCACGCATTCACTCCTCGACCGGGAAATCATCGGAGATTGAAATGAGCTTCTGTTGTCTCCTTTCACACACAACTCTACACGGCGCTCGCCTCGACAGGCCCGCAGTGAGGCGATCCCGCCTCATGTACGCTTTGATGATTACCCAAATTCGGCTGCCACTCGAAGTAGTGATAGTAGTCGAGGACATCGTTTCCCGTCAGCTTTACGTGACCGTTGTATCGAGAGCTACAACACTAGCGACCTCGGCCAAGGACGTAGTGGCCCGAAGGGTAACAAAGGTCAAGTTGAGTATCAGCGCAATCATCTGCCTAAATCGAATCATGGGCAGCGTTTCGGAGCCGGAGCTGGTCGCGGTGGTGGTAGGAACCCCTGGACTAGCTACGTCGACGAGGTGTTGGACGAAGAAGAGGAAGGGTATAATGGACAGTGATGCAATCTGCGGAAGATGAGAAACATCGGTCAACAAGTCTTGGCAAATCGGTCTGGCTTTACCGACAATAGCATAGCGTATGAAGAAATCGAATATTGTGCTTTTAGATTGATCTCTTCCCAATGATATCGTTTGTCATCCAACACACAAACTCTCTGGAAACGTTTGAAAAAGATGGCTTAGCAGAGCTCCGGAACCCAGACCTGAAGAAAAGCCGTCTCTAGGAACAACTTGCAGAAGACATCGGGGGAGAAGCTGGCTGATCGTTGGACGCGACATTCAATCGAGAGATCCCAATTTAGAATAGATCCATACCATAAAAGACCTTTGCATTTTCACTACCATCCTTGCGCGAAGTAGTAGGCCGTCCAATCTTCATATGCATAACATGTGCGACATTGAAGCTGACTTACTTTTGAACCCTCTTACGAGTGAGTTTAGAAATCTCCTACTGTACGTCAGCAATGTTTGTCAACTTGGTTTTTGAACCACCTGCCTGTTCGACATCCTCTGACACGCCAATCTCTTGCGATGACTCCCCCCTGCTTAATTTCCGATCCATGATAAGTTGTTGCATAGCCTGAGCATAAGCTCGCAAGATAGGCCTACCAAGATCCTCGTTCGATATATTCGGGGTTCGTAGCTGATCGTGGATAAGTTGCACCCAGTCCGAAATGCGCGACCAGCGAAGCAAATGGCCTCCAAACATCAATGTAGGAGTTTTTTGTTCGCGGAATACAAAGTGAATAGTTCCTGGCTCAAAGTATATTGTTTGTCCGGGGTGAATCACAACGTATCGCCATTGGGATGAAGCATAAGCGTTGGGGGTCTGCGCCCAGGCGATACGTTGCTGTGGCGTAGGGCGAGACAGCCAGCCGAATCCCACACGGCCTTCCTGAACTGTGAGCCAAGTCCCCTTCCCAAAACTGTCTTGATGCGGTAGAGTTAGTGCGCCGCCTTGTGCAAGGAGAATCCATTCCTCATCATCTTTCCATTTCTTGAGCTTGTCGATCGAGGTTGAGATGCGTTGGGCGGTTCTGGCGTCGAGTATGGTGTCACGAATTTGACCCAGGAGGTGGCAGTCTTCCCCATTTAGGAATTGAGGGAAAATGGAGTGGGGCAGCGGGTTGCGCATCTCGAGCACGTTGAACGCCGCGTCAGAGGTCTCGTTGTTGAGGAAGATGTCGCGGATGTGACTGAGACTCATTGATTTGGCCGACATTTCATCCACGAATAGAGAGGGATCTTGTACAGGAACGTCTCTTCCAAGGTTACCCATGCGTTCGAAAATTTGCTTGATGGGCGGACCTTTCTCATTGTTCCAATGAAAAGGCTGCTGATGCTGGGAGATTACCGGACCTTGCAGAGTGACGTGCGGCTCGAGGTGACCTTCTGCCTCTACGCCCGAAAGAAAATATACCTCGGTGTCGGACCCTGTAGTCCGAGGATGTTGGGCCTGGCTGAGTAATGAAATCATAGAATGGGTATTGAGTTCATCCCACGTCCTCTTCTCGGGTGTTTTCTTGCGTAACTGAGTCAACACCGTATTGAGGAAGTGGTCATCAACACCTTTATCGTGGATTGGCCGACTTGAACTATGGCTGGAGAGTTCCGGAGAAACCGGATGGCTCACAAGCAGCTCGGACGTATTTGCTTTTACAGACGGATGCAATTTCGATCGTGGACTTCCGTCGTCATCGTCAAGGTCGCGTCGTCGCTTGAGGGAGGATACTGGTCCATTTTGCGCATCGCTTGAGTCGGAGGTAGGTTGGCGGGCTTCTTGAAGATGATGCGTGGTTATGAAGTTGGTCAAGGATCGTGCATATTGTCCGAGATGTAGGGGGCAGAGCAGGGCCTGTTCTGCTCCGTGCTTCGCGATTGCATCAGCATCCAACGAGGACTCCAAGGCGAGAAGCAATTCAGAAGCTACCAATTTGCAGGAACATTCTTTCGGTCCGTTGCTTGCCTTGGAGGAAGCCTTGGGCGATATTTGTGGAGTTTGATTGTTCACGGTAGGTGGTGTATCGTGTAGCCCGTCAAGCGTTGCACGTCGCCTGCTTGACCTCGGCGTGGTAGGTTTGTCTTCACATGCCGCCCCGTCATCAGGTGTCGCTGGTATAGAAGCGGATTCGGCATTGGTCAGGTTCGGCGTGGGAAAGCTTGGCGGATGTGATGTACTGCCGTATTCGGCCCGTACCAGCAGTCCAAAGCGATCGAATCGATACCCGCCAGGCACTTCATCAGCGCGAAGCTCCTTGTTCTCCACGGACCGGATTGGATTTCCGCTGCCGTCTCTCTCGACGAAGGGTTCTGCGTCTGGCCAGCGGCCGAGGTCTTCGAGGTCAATCAGCTCGAGAGGATTTGCCGAGTCGCTCACGCACCCTTTTCGAGCTCGTTGCACGAGGAACTGATTCAGCTTGATGACACTGGCGGGCCAAGTGTGCGTCTTGGCAGCAGCGGCAGCAGCCTTGCAGAAGACGATGCTCGTCGAAGTGAAGTCGTAGTGATCGACGCAGTCATCGCCCCAACGCTTGCGGGCCGTTCGCAGTGGCGCCTTGCACAGTGGCTTCAAATCCTTTCCTCTTTCGGCCAAGGTCTGGAATCGAGCCCACGCTTGCGAGTCGTGGTCGGTTTCTAGCGCGTCGTAGCTGCGCGACAGGTGATGTCGGTATGGCTGACATAGCTCGTACATGACGCGCTCGAAGGAATGAAAGAGCAGCTCCATGTGCTGCTGCTGGGCGTCGAAAGACTGCAACAGCCTGTCTCTCATGGCGACACATGCTTCAAACATGGCCGTCGCGTCAGGCTGTGAAGCCAGCGATTTGTGGAAATTGCGCGGGTCTGGCAAAGCAGAGTGGGTAACTTCAGAAGCAGAAGCCATGTTGTATTGATGATGTCTGCGTGTGTTAACGTTGCTGAGTACGCTCATCGCTCGCGGTCGTTGCAGACTTTGTTCGTTTGCAGCCTCGCAGGATTGCCAAGACGCGCCAAGCAGTAATCAATTCAAGGCCGAGCGACAACCGATTGCATTGTGGCAGGTTCAGCATGCGACATTCGATGGCTTCCCCCCTTCATCATACCATGCAGCATGCGTCGGCGTGGGGGCTGTGGTGTGTGTGGTGATGCGACGCGAAAGTGGTGATGCGACAGCCCCACCTTTGCGTTGCAGCTGCTTTCGCCCCGAACCGTGGCTCGTGCACACGCGTACCGTGACCGAGGACAAGGCTTAGCAACGCGACTGCCTGCCCTCGACAATACTCGACTTCCCAGCCCACAGTCATACTCCCAGCCCACACCTATACTCCCAGTCCAAGACGTCCCACATGAACAGCGGCACACGGCGCTATTCGCTGGTGGCGTGTCAGCTCAGTCTCGCTCGAAAGGGTGGATGAGATGCTTGACGAGGCGCATGATGAACCAAGCACAAGAAGAGCGTGTGGCCAGGACTGATAGTTTAACCGTCACATTGCATTGCACCTGACACGGGAGCCCAGATGACGACAATGCGACATGCAGTAGGTATATGACATTTGTATTATGGATGGGCAGTTGCTGACAGCTGTCTACCATCACAGATCGAAGTTCCACTTGGAGAAGCTTAGCGTCGTGCTTGTCTACCTCCCCCAGCCGTTACCGTCCGACACGGGTCCCGGAGATCGATAGACCACCGAGATACTCGATACGGTGCCAGGCACGTCCGACAACCGATACAGACACGGCCGTGGATATTGGCTGGGTGCTAGCAGGAGAGACACTTGGACACGGGTACAAAGACGAGGCAGGGGAGCGTCTACACCAGCTGCAGGGTTCGTTTGCCACGCTGACAAGCGAGGGCAAATACGCTCTGCCAGCCAACACCATCAGTCATCTCGATATCCGCTTGGCAGAGGTGTTCCAGTCGTCCGGAGTGCTGCCATCGCTTCTCCGGATTTGCCAAAGTCGTTGGCAAGTCCGGGCCATCTAGGATAACTGCACACCGACGTCACCGTCAGCATGGTGCAGTCTTGAAGCCCTTGGCGTGCGATTACACGCCATCGCTGCGAGACGAATATGAGCAAGAGCTTGCTTCTGCTGCAGCCGACTCCGATTCGAAGCATTTGTTTGCTGTTCACACTGATACCACAACCAAGCCGAGCCGCACTCAACGGGCGTTTCGAACATGGCGTGTCGAACATGGCGTGTCGAACATGGCGTGGCCTTGAAACATGGATGGCGTTGGCTTGAATCGCAGCGAGCATCTTATCCGCGTCGTCTGTAGCTGCAGCATCCAGTGGCTGAAGCTCGCCATCGACGTCCCTCTTCCTTGCCCAGGAGTCTCGGTCAAAATTCGAATCTTGCTCCTTGATACAAATTCGTGAGGAAACTGCTCGCCGGGATTTTGATGGCCATCGTTCTTGGGAGCTATTACATGCGTCATGCGTTGACACTGGTAGCTTCGTCGTTGTTCCAAGAACTGCGCATTGGTTCGATGCTACTTTGGCAGTGGCTTGACGAGTACATTGAGATGCTGTGGAATATAACTAACCACGCCCAGAAGAGCGAGAGTCTTTTGCAGACAACATCGTGCATTGGCGTGTCACCATGGCGCACAACGAGGGATGAGGGACCGCCAACCTCAACCTCTTCCAAACGCACACATCACCCGCTGCACCGCCAAAGGAACCCGCCGAGCAAATGACACGTCGCTCCACCACGAGGCGCCATACCACTATCTACCCGTATGGATCTTGAATGCTTCCATACGTGTGGGCAGCGACGCATGATGCCATCTGCAGAGTTCGTCCAAAGACCGAAACCATCCATCTAAACGGATCCGGAAGGACTGGTACAGGTAACGGGCACCACACAGAGCCACTAGCCGTCACACCGAGCGAAGACGCTCGAGACCGATCGAGTTTGGGTAGACATGTACCTTCGAACAAAGGCGTAGTTTCTGGACAATGTGAGGAGTAGATCCAAAGAGATCAGAACGAGGTCGAAGAAGCCCATAAATGCACCCGAACTACATGATCAAGTCATCGAGGAGATCGTTGAGGGTAAAGAGGGTGAAGAAAGTGAAGAGGCTAGAGCGGTCAGAGAGGTTAGACGGGCCATAGAGGCCTCACCCGGATTAGCTCTTTCTGTGAAATCCCAAACCTTGCACAATTCATCCTGACTTCCTTGAAAAAGTACCCGTCTCCCATCATCCAGCTCTTCTTAGAATGCTCATTCCTGCGTACCTCGCACTTCCTGTATTGTTGCAAACCTTCGATGGGAGGGCACACGATGTGATTGTTTCGAGTTCCTATACAATGAGCGTCAGCGGTATAATGAACGGTATACCGCCCTGATACAATCTCAACCGATGCCGGTTCTCAGTCTGCTATAATCCTCCCTAAGTTCTGCAAGCAATGTGCATCTAATTTTTCATGCACCAAAAGAACCGAAGAGCGAAAATAACGCTCCGAGCAAAGGGAATGGAGTATGACTTTGTGGAATGACAAGTTGGCTCTCAAGCGCTTGAGGGTAGACTTGCTGTTTTTGCAGTTCTTGTTGCGTGTAAATGGCGGGAAAAATGTGCTAGCTGCACCACCGCATAACCTTGGTTAATCCGTTTAATGCTAGACAGGGATTGTGAGAACAGATTGACCAAGTCTATAAGGTAGTGGGATGTGAACAAGATTGCATCCTGGCTATGACAGATGGATGTTGCTTTTGCTCTGGTCACCTAAATAGCAGCTGAGTGGAAGGTGGGAAGTACAAGGGCAACCATGGATGGGCAACAATCCGTTCACTTCATGCAGCAACGGAAGGACAGCAATGAGGAACACAATATATGTACAGGCCAAACATGACATGATCTGCAATACTACAGAAGACTCGTAAGTCAACTAGGATATGCGCTGATGTTCGTGTCGATATCGACATCAAGCCTGTATGGGTGTGGTTGGAAGCCGTATCATCGCGCGCGATGAGCACGAAGACATCCCTTGCTTCTAAGAGCAAAGGCTTTGCGGCCACTTACGCATCCCATCACTATTTGATATCCACGGCGACGAGTTCTCCGTCCGTTTATACGCGCTCGTCGGTCGTGATCAGTCGCGCTTCAGCATCGTGTCTCGCGACGGTCAGGAGCAACGGCTTGCCCCATGAGATCGTTTCCGGTGTGCAGGGTGCGGCGGTCGGAGTCGTGCATCCCGAGTTCACTTCCATCGTGTAGCGGTCATATCTCGGCATTGCTGACAATGGTGTCAGCTGTTGGATTAGGTCGTTGTCGCGCAACAGCAGCTTCGCGCCCAACGGCACCGACAGCAGGAATGAGCCAGCGCCCACCAACGCCAATAAGTCGCCAAACCATACGAATGTCCGCAAAACCCTGACCTGGATGCCTCGTGTCTTCGCTAGCGAATGGCTGGACGCTACAAGTGCTGCTGTGTATGGCTGCGATGGAAGGCGCCTCCACGACTGCGAATGTCTGTGGTCAGCAACTAACGTGCAGTAGCACCACGAGTCGCGCTTGCGGCCCCTAACCACCAGTCGACGAGTTTAGAGAATTATCCTGGATTGTCATGGGCGGGTCTTCACGTTGAAGGTGCGCTTATTTTATCGGCGCTTGGTCTTTGGAACTCTAGAAGCGGCGGAGAACTTGCTGCTGGACTGCTCGCTCCACGATTGAATCACTTTATAACACGAAAACTTCACAGTCAATCCCCATCGTCTTCTGGGTTTATGTGAGATGTTTGTACGATGACACGGCTGATGCGACAGGTTGGGAAGTACGCTCAGGTGATGGAGAGACACCGAACACCTCGCAACATCGGGAATTGAGGGTGTTGATTACTTACTGACAATATTCGACAACGTCGCGTAGACGTATCAGTATGATGTAGCTCTGTCCCTGCTGCCTAGCTCTTCATCGTGTTGTATTGTTGCATTGTTCTCGAAGTCCTTACGTCTTGGTGTTTCGCCCGGCCAAAACAAGCACGCTCTCATGATGTCGGAGGAACCATACCCAAGGCTAAACTTGAGGCTACTCACCCAAGACGCTTACGCGTGAGTAGTCACTGGAGCGAGAGTGTAATGATGTGTGTTTTCATGTAACTTTACAGCGTCCATATTCATCTTGACGTAGTGTATTCGACATCATGGAAGACGCAGACGCAGGCCTGAAACCCAGAAGAACAGCAAAGGCTCACTTGTTTTGGAGCAGCTTTACGCAACAATAACAACGCTTTCAAAAAGAGTTTTCTAGAAAGACATAAAGAAGGTCTTGTTTTCTTCTGCTCTTTTAGAATTCAATGAATGCTTTCCATAGCATAACTTTCGCGCTTCATAGCACCTGTAAACTTCGGATCAGGGTCGTATTCAAACTTGGCATTCTTCTTCGATATCAACGAGAAGCCGTCGTTTGTTCTTGTCTTATCGAATCTCTATAAATACTTCAGGGAGTTGCTCTATCATGTCGCAAAGATGTAAATGCTGATATGTGCGCAACCCTAGGATCTTGGAACACCTCGACAAAAACATCACAACCATGTCGTTGTTCTTACTTGGAACACGACATGACAAAGCTAACAGCTGTGACTTCGGTTGCTTCTGTCCGTACATTTTTCACCACCTTCCAAATTCCGACCACGGCCATCACTGCCTAAAAGTAGAATAGGATACCATGATTCTATGCCAAATATCTAACACAGGGACCATCGAAGCAGCAAAGTTGATCCTCTGTCTGACGACTGCCCGAACGGAGAACCCGAAACCGAAATAAATGACCCATTATATACCACTCTCATCAACCAAATGCATGGAAGGCAAAAAGCAAAACGGACTTACATGCACCAAGGCAAAGAAAAACTTCAAGCACTATAAGCGCTCAGCAAGATACTGCACAACTTGTAGCTATTCACGTCACACTGAGTATCTACTTCCACCACCAAGATCAAGTTACAAGCGATGCCGACCCTCCGTCTCCTCTCCCACCAAGCCCAGCACTAAACCCATCTCTTCCATAGGTCAGAAATCATCCCCTCGACCTCAAGCCCCTTGACCGTGGTCGTTTGTGTCGTCTTTGTGCCACTGTCTGGCGTCCAGCTTCTTGCCCAACTGGTCCGTTCCCACAAACAGGTCGACACGATCAACAAGCCATTCCAACAACGTAGGCTCTTGGCCAGATTGCGAAGGGCTTGACACTACTGTTTGGTGCAGATCAGCTGAGGGTAAGACGTGGTGAGCGGGAGTGGTGTGGTGATTAGGGATAGACGGAATCATAGGTTTAACGGGCCGGTGCTGCGACGAGTGTTCGAGTCTGGAAGAAGAGCAACCGTGCAAGGCTGCGGGTTGAAGAGGGGAAGAACGGTCGGTATCGTCTGCTTTGAAGCGGGGTTGGACAAGGCGGGGCTGAGTGAATGTGCGTGATCCTCGGTCCAACCCAGTGGCTGGTCCAGGATGACGGAAACCACCAGCATCGAAAGGCGAGAAGGATAGGGATTGGCGAGGTGATCCACGTTCCGATCCAATGTCTTCGCCCTCAGCCCGGCGCTTCGCATTATTTTTCACACTAAGAGCCGTGTATTCACTGCCCAACTTGGTCAGAGCCTTGTCGAGTTCTTTGCTGGCATATGGTAAGTGGCCTGTTGTGTGATCTGAGTGAGAAGCTTGGGGCTTGTAGACACTCTGGCTGATGGGGCGAGGCTCTTTGGTGAGCTTGTGGACACCGTTATGGCCATGCAAAGACATGCCGCGTTGGGGTTGCTCTATCACGAGGTCGAGTTTGGAGTGAGATGTAATGTCTGGGCTGGGTTGACACGAGAGCTCATATTGGTCATCCTCTGTGCCGTCATCGTCAGAGGTTATTCCTTGATGAAAAAGGCTTGCTGACGTACTGCTATCCTGCTCAGTGCTGACGGCATCGCCACTAATGGCATCGTCTTGAGAGAGATGACTTGATGAGTCGCCGTCGTTGTCGCTGTCATTTTCTTCTCCGTCATTGTCAGCACAAGAACCAAGGTGTTTCATTGATAACGACGGCATGATGACTTACCTTTGTCCTCCTTGCCACCGAGAGCATTGTCACGGATTGCATCGCCACCGAAGGCGTCATCACTATGAGCAGCGCTAGCAGTGGCTTGTTTGTCTTCTTCCAAGCGTGCTTTGTAGATTTTGCAAGTCTGCAGATGCTTCTTGTAACGACTGTCGTCGCGCACATAACCCTTGTGGCATCCTGGACAGTGGAAGCCAGCGTGTGCTGAGGTTGACATAACTGTTGGATGGGACAAGCGTTGCGACAAAGTCGAGATTACTGTGTCAAGTGTCGATACATATGTACATCTGCAGCGATCGTTTGCTGACGCCAAACACGTTCCATTCCAGACTCAATCAGTTCCAACTTGTCAAGATGTGTCTGCGAGTGACCACCCCCTCCTGCCAAACTCGAGGCCGAGCGTATGACCATGGCCTGAGATGTGTCAGTTGGCCCCTGCCGTGCCGTGGCCCAGAAAGAAGCTGCTCTGCTTACTATATTACACGCCGTCGTCGGTGCCCTCATCTGAAGTGTGCTCATTCAGGTCAACCCCCCGGAAGCCTTGTTGTAATTCATCTGAAGCGTACTCACTCAGGTTGACCCCCCGGAAGCCTTGTTGTAATTCATCTGAAGCGTACTCACT